GGTAAAACTGTTACACTGAAGCTTAAGAATGTGAACTTTGAAGTTAAAACAAGAGCTTCGACTGTGCTGTCTTCTGTTTCTACTGAGGAGGAAATATTTACTGTTGCTAAAGATCTGCTAGGAACAGAAATCAATAGTGTTGCTCCTCACCCTCTTCGGATAAGACTTATGGGTAAGATATTTCAAATTCATTCTTCCTTTTCAGAGTTAGGAAATCTGATAGTGTTTTGAAATAACACACCATACTTTAAAGTAAAACTGGTATTAATGCATATATCCTTTTTCTACTGCTGGTAATTTTTGCAAAGTGAACAGATCTGTGCTGAGTAATTTAGGAAGTTTTACTAATGAGTGCTGAATGGTGACTTAGGAAGTTTTACTAATTGAGGTGGTACTTTTTTATGCAACAGCTATCACATCATCGTGACGGTAGAAACTTGAGTCATAGCAGTGCTTAATTCTGCTGCTTTAAATGAGCTTTTAAATCTGCTTTGCACCACAACAACAGAAGCGCTTACAGATCTGAAAGTACAGAGTTCTGGAGGAGATGTGAACATTTCTGATGACAGTAAGCTCTGTGTTTTGACCCTGAGACATGTTTCAGGTGCTTATGTGTTCTGCTTGAAAACATTGAGCGGTATATAGTTTACTTGACTAAGATACTAGAAAGTGAAGAAAAATGTTTTGATGGGTGAAGTTCATGCAAAACTTTCAGACTGAATTCTATGTAACAGTATTTATAACTTTGTGCTATAATGCAATGAGTTAAAACTTCAGAGTAATAAAATTAACAATATTGTTGGATTAGTCCTTGGGCCTGATAAAATTGTATTGACATTGTGATGCATTTGGAAGTAGTCTAGCATTTTCTTATAGATAAATTTTGCCTTTATTGAGTGAATGTATACCTCGAAAGGGTTTAACTAGGAGTTAGTATCAAGTTTCATATAATTATTATTATAAGTTTCTTTTTCATCATTAGGTGTACGAGTATCAGGATTTCTAACTGAAGAAGAAAAGAAATACCAACAAAAAAGCATTACAAGTTTCTTAAAATCAGGAAAAGAAATTGGTTTCCTTAGGCTTCAGCCAGAGAAGGCCAACCAGAAGTATTTCACAAAAAATTCAGAAGCTCATAGAGGGAGTTTTTTTGATCAAAAGCGAGCAGCAAGACAACTAAACAGTGAGAATATTTCTCCAAATGAAAGCAGAGGTAAGCAGCTCTTTCAGGATGATAAATCACCTGCAAATTTTATGGAAGAAACAAAGAAAGTCGCAGATTTACAGAATTCTAATGCTTGTAAGATCTTCACCTGTCCTGTTTGCTTTGAGAAGCAAAGCAGCAATAATTTGGAAGAACTTAATAGACACATTGATGAGTGCCTCAGTGGGATGTGTGTTAAAGATACTGTGGAAATATCCAAGAACGACAGTTCAAGAGAAAATACATCTAACTTTCTTCCACAATTTAAAAATGAGTGGGTTGTTAAATGTCAAAATAATAAAACAGATCAATTATCAGGAACAGACCAGTCTGCATGTGTATCTGACAGCTCTACTGACAATAGCACAGAAAGATTTAGTCAGATACCTGATAAATCTCCCAGCAAACGACAGCCCAGCAATCTCAGTGACATTGCTAGAAAAGTGTGTATGAAACAGTGTTTCTTCCCCAAACAAGTATCACAAGACAATGAAGACCATTTTGACAAGACTGAAGATACAGAAGGAGCTAGTTCATCCTGTTTCTTTGAAACCAAAGAAGACAGTGTTCTTGTTTGTCCAGTTTGTAATTCAGAACAGAAAACTACCAGTCTTACAGCATTTAACAGGCATGTTGATGTCTGCTTAAATAAAGGCCTTATCGAGGAGCTGACAGAAAAAGAGGATTTTCCTACTAAGACTTATAATATGGAAAACTCAAACAGTTTTCTCTCTGGTAAGTATATGCACTAGTATATGTTTAATTATTAGAATTGTCTGTATTTGCAATTAAGATACTTTGGCAATGATGAACTTTGAAATTTTTTTCTCAACAAGCTTATTTAAGTAAGGCCTATATAGGAGTGAACATTTTTATTTAAAAAAGTATCAAATTGATTTTCATGACAAACTAGATTTATGAATGTGATGTTAATTTGTCAGTACCCTCCCACCTGCCACAAAAGTGACACATTAATTACTACTTATTTCTGGAAATTGTATGTTGGTTACACTCAACCATATTCAGAAAGGTGTTTGTGAGGCCACTAGATTAAAATGAAAATCAATGAGAACATCATCAACCTTTATTGTTTCAGATTCAGTTAACAGAGTGGCTTCATTATATCATGTGCTGGCAAAAATAGAGATGAGAACTATTGCCTAAAGGAAGAAACTTCCAATTCTGTTTTATAGCTAATAAAATATATCACATAACTTCACCTGTAACATGCCACAGGACTATCATTCATGTTTTCTGAAGTAGTTCCTCTTTTTGACAAAGAGTTCATCTTCAGCCAGATTAGAGTGCATATGCAGGTAGTAAAGTATCTGCTTAAAGTAGTCCCTAATCTATTTTAAGAACCTTATAAAAAGAAATTAAAATGCTAATGTGTTAGAATTTTCATAAAACAATTAAGACTTAAAATAAGAATATTTTACAAGAAAATTTTCAAAGTGATATTGCTACTACATGTGCAAACATGTTTTAATTTAAATGGAAGACTTACTTTAGGTGAAGTTTCTTTTCTGCTCCCTGGAGTATAAAAAAATTAAAACCATGATTTTTAACTACCATCTTGAAAATCAACTACATTATGCTGAAATATTTCTGCAAAGTGTAACAAGATTCAAAGTAATTGCTTATAATTCAGTAACATAAAGGCTTTTTGGTTTTCTCTTTTAAAAATGGTAATATAAACTACAGTATTCAAGTTGAAGATAATAAAATGCTATCTGCTTGAGATAGATTAGATTTTTAAAAAAGTTCTTCCATCGATGTAGTTTCTGAAGCATTCTTTATTGAAGTAACTAATTTTGGTTGTTTTCAATTACTTTTAAGGAGGTTTAAGCAAAGGACAGCAATGCACAAATCCATCACAAGGAACAAAAAGGTAAGTGTTTTTTGAAAGTCTGAGTATCCAACTTGTTTTAAAATAATGAAGTCCAGAAAAACATTCAGTGTGGTAAAACCTGAGTCGGTATGCATTATGTATTTTAACTTCTTACTGTTTTTTTTTTCCTCCCTCTTTGTTTAACCCTAGGTCTGGACTAACAGCTTCACAGTCAGTATCAAAAAAAGCCAAGTCAAGCAATTCCAAACATACAATTAAAATGTTTTTTAAATGATTGTGTAGCAATGTGTTCTATATGAAGTCTTACATGGAGTTTTATGACTGCAAGTTAATTTAGCATTGGCAGTAGGCTGGATTCAGGTACCTGTGTAACAAGAACATGATGTCTGAGACAGAGAAGAGATAAAATGATTTTTTTTTCTTTTTCTTTATTTTATTTTCTTTGGAGAATAATACTTTTTTCCCCACTTGTTTCCAAGAATCAAAATTTGCTAGCACTTTGATTTAGCTCCCTAGAATACCCAGGAATCATTAGCTAGGGTGCCCCACTGTACTTGCTGAAGGCCCTCTTCCCACACCTGAACTTCTATCTTCCCTATTGTAAAAATAAAATTATGAGTTTAACTGTGTGATAACAAAGAAGAGTTGAGTGGCTCGATTTCAGCTAATGTCTGTCTTCATAGTGGACACAAAAATGTGTTTGTCTCACAGTTACACAGGATAAGAACAAGAACTGAGAGCACTATCAAGCTTTCATTGTTACTGAAAATTATTTCAGTAAGAGTTGATTGACCAGATCTGAAGAACTCATCGTGGTGAGATAAACAATGACTTCACTTACTTAAAAAATGTTTAAAAATCTGTTGATTGAGATGATTCCTCCAGGATATTCAGACAAATGCTGTTTGATCTCTGGCCTTTCTAAAGGGACTGAGATTTTTTTTACAGTTTGAAATTGTTACCAATGAGTAGCACTAAATTTATTCTAAATAAAAGGTTCCATGGTGCAATATTAATGGATTATGTGCAAGTACAAGATAATGAACCTTCTTATTGTTTAGCTATCTTTCTCTTTTAAGTTACTTTGTATTTCTGAATAAATTGTCTTCTGTGAGTGCATATGTGGAAAGAGGAATGTAAGTGCAAATATTTAAAATGGTCTGTTTAGATTTTTTCTGTTCACACCAAATTTTTTAAAGGTGTTTTATTATAATTAAGTATTTATCAGACAAATAATTTATTATAACAACATGTTTCTTAGAAGTTATACAAACAATGCCAAGCCCTGTAGGAAATACAAATTGCTTTTTCAACTGCAAGGTCTTTTAAAGATGTGGCTGCTGTAGAAGCAACTATTTTGTTGTTCAACTGTAATGGGATTTGCTTGTTTTTTAAACAAACAAATGTACACATGGTGTGTATTAAATGCCCAAGCCAGTTCAGAATATGTTTCCAGAATTGCTGGAATGATTACACCATCTCTACCTGCTTATCTGTTTGTTTGTCAGATGCCACTGTACCCACACCTCTGTCATTTGAATTCATGTCAGTGCTCCCTTATCTGCTTCGGACCAAATCAGCTGGACTAGTTCAGACTGTAAATTGATTCAGTCAAATTTTTCAAACTGGGTCAGTGAGCACTCAGCATGAGCTGTTCTGTTGACGTACATGGGAACTTCTGGTAGGAAATACATAAAAGCAGCTGACGGAGCGTAAGTCAACTAACTGCTGTTTAGAAAGTGAACACCTTTCCCTTTTTTGGTTTGTACCTCTGATTCAATAAAGTGTAGAATGTAAGTATTACCTTGTCATGGTGTATGTATCTTTAAAACATCTATTTTTACATAAGCATTACATAGCAAAAAGTAAGCTACTCTTACGTGCTTGAAAAAATAAGTTAGTTGGCTTAGCCTCAAAAGTTGCCTTGCCATTTGTTTAACAGGGAAGCGTCATAGAGTTATCCTAGTGTCATGAAAAGGTTGTAGATGTGTCAGTATTAATGTGAAAATAAAACTCATAGTTTGACTGTAAATTATTTATTACAATTCCATTTTGTGTTGACCCTAGCTGGATGCCAAGCAGCCACCAAAGCTTGCTCACCTCTGCAGCTGGACAGGGAAGAGAAAATATAATGAAGGGCTTATGGGTTGAGATAAGGACCAGGAGAGATCACTCATGAAATATCATCATGGGCTAAGCAGGCTCTAATTAGATAATGTAAAAAATTTGTCTAAATTCAATTAGATGAATTGAATTTATCACTAAAAAAAAATGAGAGCAGGCTGAGAAGTAAAAGAAGATCTTAAAAACACCTTTCCCACATCTGTCTCTCCTCAGCTCTGCCTCCTCCCCCAGTGGCACACAGACAGGGAATGGAGTTTATGCTCAGCTCCTCACACCTTGTTCCTGCTCATGGAGAGGAATGTTCCCCCTGCTCCAACATACGGGATCCCTCCCATGGGAGACAGTTCTCCATGAACTTCTCCAACATGAGTCCATGCCATAGGCAGCGCTCTCTGTGAACTGCTGCAGTGTGGGTGACTCTTCCATGGGGTGCAGTCCTCCAAAGACAGGCTGCTGCAGTGTGGGTCTCCCATGGTGTCACAAGTCCTACCAGGAAAGCTGCTGCAGCATGGGCTCCTCTCTTCACAGGTCTGCAGGTCCCCACTCTGGTGTGAGCTTCCCATGAGGTCACAGCCCCTCTCAGACATCCACGTGCTCCAAAATGGGACTAAACTTACTTTCCCAGGATTGTTTTTTCTTTCAGCTGAGTTACATTCACCTACTGGAAGTACAGGTGGTGAAATTGCCGTATCAGACTGGTATATCAATTGTAAAGATTTTTTTATATCACAGCCTCTATATACCAGTAATATTTAAAGACGATAAGAACTGTTAAATCTCTTGATCTAAGGTAAGCAGAATTTGAGCAAATAGTTTTTGTATCCAAATTCGTTAAATTTACAAACTCTTGAGTTTTTTAGATTAATTTTATTATGGACAGGTATGGTGTTAGTCATCTTGGAAAATAATGTGATTGTGGAATTTAATTTAAGAAGAAACTACAGAAAGCAACTCCAATGTATCTACAACTGTGTGAGGCTGGATACTGGTGGTTCTGCTTTCTTGGAACTACTTTTGCTATATTTATATTGAAATAGAAATATGAAAGGCTATTTTTAAAGTAAAATTCAATGTAGTCCTTAAAAAAATTATGCCCTGTTGCAGAAAAATTGTTGTCTATGTGAAAGGAAATACCAAAGACCAAACTCATAATGGATGTCAGGATAAGTTGAGAAATAGGTAGGTTAGATGGATCTCAGTATGTCAGTTCATAGAACCTGAACCTTTGGGGATGTGTGTTTTGGTTTTGATGGGACTTTGACAAAAGCAAATGCAATCAGTTTTTACCTAAAATTGAAGAGTTTTATGATTGGGTGAACTGCTACCACATGTGCATAGTTATGTACAAATTTATGTCAGAAGCACTTCAGTCTCTCACATCCTAAGGCTGTGTGAAGCATGCAGGAGTGCAGGGATGGTCACCCTTTCCTGTCCAGTGAACACTGGTTACAATTATGAGAATAACTCCCAAAAATGGTCTTCAACCTGCATAGAGAGCTCCATGACTACATCCACCTGGCCCCAGGCACCCCATCCAAGCTGTGATACCTCTGTGTGTCTGTATTCATGTGCTTATGGCATGGCTTTTCGAAAGTTGTCTGGTGCAGCGGAACTACCTTTTGTCTGATGTGTGCGCTTGAGCGGGCTGATTGCTCCTGGCACATACGGCTAGCCACTAGTGAAGACGTGCGGGGGATTGGATGGGTAAAGGATGATCCCGTTCAGTGCCTAGCCACTGGCAAGAAATGTAGTGTATTTAGTGCTTGGTTTCTCTGAAAACAAACTCCTAAAGCTGCTCCACAGCTCTGCCCCTTCGCGCGGCGGTGTCCTGGCAGCAGCGGCGTGCTGCGCTGGTGTGCCCGCAGGGGTGCGTTTGTCCCGGCTGCGGGTGCTGTCGTCCTGGGAACCGGTTTCTCAGGCAGCCGGGACACCTCCCTCGGCACAGCGGCCTGCAGCCCTTTCCTTTGGCTGAGGAGGAAGCAGGAGCGTCGGCAGCAATGAAGGGCCCGAGCCGCCTGCTCCGCGGCGGGGAGGAAGCCGCGCAGGGAGCCGCGGCAGCGAGCCACGGGGGCCGTGAGTCCGCGGGGCTGCAGGCGAGACCGCCCGGGCAGCGCAGCCCCCGGGCAGCGCACGGTCTGCTTCCCGCTCTGCGGCCGGCACAGCCCTGCCTTCCCTGGGGGCTGGCCCCGTTAGGGCTGCTGGGACCCAACCAAACCTGCTTTCGCCTTGATCGGAGAGCAGAATGAGCGGTGGGGGTTGGGAAGGGCAACGTTGAGCATGAGTTGTTATACGTGTGGTAAAAAACCAGCAAATGTGTGGATGTGAGACTGGGAGCTGGGCTTTGGAATGTGGTGCTCCCAGGGGCAAGTCCTACAAATTGCCCACTGCTGTGCTTTAACTTCTCCTTTGAACTGCTCTGAGAGGGTTCACTGGTATTAGTCACGTCCCTGGACCTGAGCATCTGCCACCAGTTTCACAGCCAATCACCCAGTTTTGGGAGACACACAGAAATCACAGGATCTTGCGCTCGTAAATACAACCCAGTGATGGGGTCTCCAGCTTTCAGCCTGCAATCCAGTCTGTGAAAGAACTGTAGTTAGTGAAAACAGGTGATTTGTGGAAACGAAGTGGTAGTTGCCAAACCCTGCTTGGCTCAGTCCTGTGATCACGGCGTAACAGCCAGGAACGATTATCTTGGGCTGTGATTCTTGCTCCAAGGCTGGAAAAGAGGGCAGCAAAAGAAAATAACTACTGAAATATCACCACTGGACTCAATGGCTTCTGGACAAGAGAGAAAATAAAGCTTCATTTTTTGTTAGAACAGCAAAACTGTCCTTCCTGATGCATATACAGTAAAGAAACATCATTTTATCTTGTTTTTGAAGGCCGTGTTGAGTAAAGCCTTGAGGTTGTTCCTACTTGTCCTGAGATGCATTTATCTTTGTATCCTCATGTTAGACAGCAGTCAGCAGGAATGAAGTTGGCCTTATTGTAATTAATTGTTGCTAATTAGTGCTGTATCTTTTTTCCCACATTTGTCATAAATTTGCCTTGAGCAAGGTATAGCCTTTGACCATTGGTTTGAAATCAAGTTAGTAGAAAGCTCTGTTGGATACTTCCTAAGGTAACAACTATGAAAACTGGGACTGAGGCATTTAGTCTTCAAAGATCACTGTTCATAATGATGATTTTGCTGTCAGCCATGCTCCTTGTCACAAATGCCAGGAGACTGGGAGAGCGTTTTTATTTGCAAATGATTTTCCCTTCCTTATTGCCTGCATGTCATCGTACAAACAATACATACACTGGTGGTTCCCAGAGAAGTTTGGAGGGATGATTATTTTATTAGAGGCACTTGGATAATTTCTTTGGGAAACTGGAAACACCTTTGCAAGTACTCAGTTTAATTTCTGATTAATTTTGTACAGTAAAAATGTGATTATTCTTCCTGGGATGATAGCCACAGGGAACATATAAATGCAATTAAGTGAATGCCATCCTGATTTTCCTTAGTATCTCTGCAGTCATAGTGCCTCAGGCTGTGTCCTGATTAGGCATTAATGAACTTAGATGTAATATAGTAGGATGAACTTGCCTGAGAGGGCTGTAAGGAATAGATAATTCCTGTAGTTCCTGGTCCAACAGAGTGGTGCCTCCTTGGTGATATCATTGGATAAGTGGCCTTCAGCCCAAAATAGTCTAGACAGAAGACATCTAATTATCTTTTCAGTGTGACATCCTATTGGATTAAAAGTATGTACTAATATTTTTTGCAACTGATGTAACTGCTACACTATTTTCTTTATAGTTATTACATATGTTACAAAAAAAAACCATGAAACATATTCTGACCTCCAGCTAAAGGAGGTCAGACACTGGAATTTTACTTTTCAGGGTTACTATCAGACACTGGAATTCTATTTTTCACAGTTACTGAATGTGTCTTCCTACTTCAGCTGACCAAACAGATGCTAATTTTTGGATTGGGACATTAAAGGAAGGTCTCCATTTAAAATTGTTTTGGTTTGTTTTTCCAGTCATGTCACACTGTTTGGTTACTGCTTTGTATATTTTGTGTTTTGGTGGTATGCTTTAAAACAGAACAATTTCTCAAAGAATAGGAAATAAGTGCTGAAGTTTGTAGCATTCACTGCTATGCCTATGCAGTAATTTGAGATGCAATTAAATACTAAGAGCTTCATAAACAAACTGTTCTTGTGAGTGCCAACTCTGGCAATCTATGTTGTGAAAAGTCTCCCTTTAGCTGCACTTAAAAGTTGAAACTAGAAATATCAGCCAGATGTCTCTAAAGGAGAAAAACCTAGTAATTAAATGCTTTGATGATAAGAAGCAAGTGGTTCTCATAACACCTAATCAGTACAAAGAACAGAAAGTGTAAACAGTATCATCATCCCTTATGTTGGTTATGGCTACTTTTTTAATAATACAGGTTTTTTTATCATGTTTTCCCACAGTACTGCCAGATGAGAGAGAATTTCAATATGCTGCTAAAATGAACAATTTGGATACCATGGAAAAGCTATTTAAAAAGAATGTTGACATAAATGCTGTAGATACTGTGAGTATAAAGTGCCTGACAGATAACTGATGTGAAGGGTGACTCCTTGGGGTTGATGGGGGAATACCAGCATGCCCCCTCAGCTGCAGGAGTGAGGTGCAGAAGTGCCCTCTAGGACCTGATGAAGAAATCACTTCATACAGCCATTATGAACATTACAGCTTAACTTGGGTTTTTCAGTAGTCAGTGTATCACATTGGGAACTAAGGATTTCTCATTTGTGCCCCTGCTCTAGTGTTTCCTCAGAGCTCTTTGGCAACTAATTTCTTGAGTTCTCCATTTTTATGAGTGGGATGACTTTACCTCACAGTCATTTTAAGAATGTATTCATGCTGCTAGCATTACAAATTTCTAAAAAGAAGTATTGCTCTTTGGTTTGCATGGAACTGTGTGAGCATTCTACAATGTCCTCTGACTCCAACCTGAGCTCAGAGTTCAGATTTACCCTAGATATACAAAAATGCATTTCCTATGCTGACTTCAACACCAGGCTTAAAATCTGAGGATATATACTTCACAGTAGCTAAATATAGCATTGTGTTCCACATGAGAGGTAGTTCAACAGCAACCAAGCAGTCATGATATTAATCTAGGATTTTTGTGTAACAGTGTCCTCTCAATAGCTACATATAAATCATCTACCCCTTAGTATCCAGTGTTACTGGGTTCTGAAAAAATTTGCCTCCCATGCCCACATGCATTTTCACTCACTGGGGAATTTAGAAGATAGTATAGTGCATTCCTTGATTTGCTTATGAAACAGACAAGGAGACAAACATTTCCTCTGAGCACACTTCTCTTGAATACTGAGAGTGTCAATTGAATTGCACTCTAAAAGGTCACTTTAAAACAGTTCTTTCTTCCTTCTTGCTTTCCAGAATTCAGAAAGTTAAAAAAAATACATTTTCAGTTCAGTAGTTTGAAACTTTTCTCTGTCATCCTTAAATTAGATCTATACTATGAGAGAGTTACTAGCACAGCTGCAGAGGCATTGTGCTTTGGTTGGTTATCCTAGTAGGGATGTAGCTTATGCTGGCAAAGCCTCTTTTTTTTGTTAATGTTGATCATTCCTGCCCCTGTACTCTCAAGCTAAATAAGAAAGGCTGTCAAAAGATGAGCTTTTTGATAGTACTCTTTCTGTAGTACAAGAGGCTTTTTTCTTACATAAATACACATCATAAATCCCACCTTTTTATTCCTTTTGATGCATATGATTGTAAATTCAAATTTATACAATTCAGGTGATCTTCAGAGAAGCTAAGAAAGCAAATCCAAACTGACTTTTAAAATTAATTGGTTAAATCTCTTATACATCTTTGTATGGAAACTATTAGTCACTAATGTTAAACCTAGTTATGCCCACTTTAACTGAATGCAAAACTCTCTCCAATAAAATTTTATTCAATTTAACAAATCCCTTTTAAATATATACCACTAATAACTTTATCAAAGTCTTCTTCAGAAGCACTGAGCCCATTTACCTCTGTGAAATTACTCACTGTTTGCAAGGTGGTAGCTTTCATTTACGTAGATGATGACTCAGTATGGGAAGGTGACTAACACTGAGTGAGGGAGAAATATTAGCTTGCATTGCAGAGGTTTAGTCAAAAGCAAGGAGGATACCAAAAGCAAGACTAACTGCGTACATACAGACCTCAGCTATTCAAACAACACCATGCAATAATATAATAAACAAGGATGCTTCTTGTACTGCACACACCTCCCCTATATAGTGTTTGACTGCTTCATGCCATTTTGACATTTCAGTGAAAGGACAATACTATGTAGACTAACAAAATATATAGATAAAGATCAAGTGTGACTGTTGAAGGAGAAGTATGAAAAAGTATATATTAACAGGCACATTTGGTAACAATCAGAGAATTCCAAAAGCCTGACCACGTGTACAGGGAAAGAACTGTATTACAGACCTGACAAACAAAGCTTTATTTATTCCAGCTGAAGCGCACAGCGTTGCATTTTGCTGTTGCAGGAGGCCATGTGTCCATGGTGGATTTTCTTCTTCATCACAAAGCTAGACTTGACATGGCAGATCAGGTAAGCTGGCTTACTTGTTTTGTTTCACATGTATAGGAACTCCTTTGATTAAAAGCAGATAATTTTCTTGTGCTCCCAATTGTGCAAAAATTAAGAGCTTGCAGTAAAAACGTTTTGCTTAGAACTGCACATATTTGTATGAAAAAAGCATTTTTAGAAGAAAAACACATTGCCCGAAGTACTGGATAACTTGAATACCTGAGTGAGCACGAGGCACCTCTCTTAGCCAGGTCACAGTGTTTACGATACAGCCAAGGACATTATTTGCCTTGTGTGCTGCAAGAGCACACTGCTGGCTCATGTTCAACTCGGTGTGCACCAGGACCCCCAGGTCTTCCTCTGCTTTTCAGGCAGCTGTCCCCAGCCAGTACTGGTGCCTGGGATTGCTCCTCCCAGGGGCAGGACATTGCATTTCCCTCTGCTGAATTCTTGCCAGGCCATATCTCCAGCCTGTCAAGGTTTCCCTGGATGGCAGCACACCAATATAGTCTATCAGCCATTTGTCCCTATTTAATATCAAGTTTGCTGTGGGTACCTTCTGCCCATCATTAATGCAGATGTTAAATAACTTTTCCACGATGGATGCCTAGTGCATTGCTTGTGACTGCCTCCAGCTATTCATAACTTGGAAGGTTTTCCAAGACAGGCTTTTAGGCCACAACCACAAATTTTGCTGAAGCCTAGATTTATCTTATTGCCTGCATACCAGGTATATAATCCATATTGCCTGCATACCAGGTACATAATCCATATTGCCCTCCACTGTTCTCCACTGCAATTTCTGCAAATATGGGAAAGACTGGTAAAGTGGAATGAGTCCCATGCAGACCCTCTAGGATGATTAGAAGTGCAGAACAGGGTATATGAGGAGGTGTCCTAATATCCAACATAAACCTCCCCTTACACAGCTCCATGCCATTTTCTCTGGTCCTGCCAGGTCAGTGCCCGCCCCTCCACTTTCCCTCGTGAGGAGGTTGTGACTTCAGTGAGGGCTCCCCTCTGTCTCCTCCAGGCTGAACAGACCAAGTTTGCTTCTCATATGGTTTCCCCTCAAGGTCCTTCACCATCTTTGTGTTCCACCTTTGGACACTCTCTAATACCTTTATATCCTTGTATTATGGCACCCAAAACTGCCCGCAGCACTGGAGGTGAGGCCACAGCAGCACAGAATTGAAGTAGTCCTTTTGTTTTTAAGATGCTAAAAACACAGTTTGTTTTTTCCTATGAGAAAAAAAAAAAAAAGTTTTTAGAGAATTTGAGAAATGAGAACATTAAAAAGAGGCCTAAATAAAAAATTATGGTGACTTGTGGAAGTATAGTCATTGCATATTGTCACTTGAAACGTCATCCACTGCACCCAGGACTATCTATCTACATGGTTTCTGGAGAGAGAAAATAATTTCCAGGTAGATCTTAATCCCTCTGTTGTAAAATGGGATCTGTCCTTCTTTAGGGATGCCAGACCTTCTGTGAAGAAGTGAGACATTTATCTAGGTCTTTCTCTATTGCATTTAGCTTATTTTAAGTGAGATGAATCCCACCCACACTGTCAGGTGTTCATATTGCTTTTCTAAAAGCCTGCAGACTGGTACCCACTAATACACTGAATCAATCAAAAAGATTTAAAGAAATTTGGCTTGAGGTATTTTGGTGGTAGTTTCTGCCTTTGTAATTTTATTTGACGCACGGCCTGACAGTGATTCATCTTGCAGCCTGGACTGGAAATCTGGATATAATGTGAAAATTAGTTAAAGCAGGTGCTGATCAAAAGGCTAAGAATGAGGCTTGTTGATGACAAATTTAACCAACCCTAAACATGTTTATGTTAGGAAAAAATCAAACATTCTTACAGACTGACTTACCATTTTTCAGGAAGGAATGAACGTACTACATTTTGCAGCTCAGAGCAACAGCATTAAAATAGTTGATTATTTCCTCCAAGATCTTAATGTGAATGACTTGAACAAACCTGATGGGGTACAGCATGTTTCTGTTTACTTCTTTGATGTAATGAGGCTCTTGTTTCGGGGGAAACAATCTTGACTTGGGGAATTTCAATGAATTTTACTTTATTGACAGTTACATATACTTTTAATTACTGACTTGGATGCTGAGAAACCGGTAAAAGAAGCAGCCAGACAAGCACTTAATGGCAACACCTTTCCTCCCTCTTTGCCCAATTCAGTTGGACTGCAGACACCCTCTGCTGTCCTTGCTTTTGCTGCGTCAGTGATGCTCAGTCGTGGTAAAGCAATAGGAGGCAGAGGAGGCTGGGCTCAGTCCCCAGTCAATTCCTTTTTTTTCTGCTCTTTGCTTCTTACTATTTTCCTCTGCTCCAGAAAACTGCTTGCATGGGCTGCAGTCACCTGTGGATGTACCTTCCCCTGTGTCTCCTTCCTTGCATTTTCTTGTGTCTCCTGCTGCATCCCTTGTGTATCCTTCCCACAGCACTGCCCAGCCATTCTTACATAGAAGCATCATTTGGTTCTGTGGTGGGGTTAAATGCTGGCACATCATGGGGCAGTTTGATCTACATGGAGCCAGCTGAAATGTCTGTGCCCAGCACAGGGCAGCCTCTGACATTTCCCACACAGCTCATCTTCACAGACCCCTGCCCTTACCAAAACATGCCAGTCATGGCCAACATGGACATGTTTCACCAATGCAGAACACAGAACTCTGTGCAGCTATCCTCCAGAGGTGCACTGACTCTCCAACAGTGCCTTGTCCTCATGAGGTTTTCTATGTTTTTAATTTTAATTTCCACAATGTTGGGATCTTGTTTTGAAAGTCTATGTCGCTAAGTCAGATATTTTATCTTGACATGAGGAAAGCTTACTCCCATGAGATTTGACACCTAAAGAACAAATCTCTCTTTATTTTTCCTGAGTTTCTTGAATTTTATTGACCCAAGGGTGCAAAATTCTGAGTTCTTTTTACAAATGACATGTCTGACAAAACAGAGTTAATTTAATAAAACATACCTTTAGGCCTGGGAAAGGAAAGATGAGAAGGACCTTCTCAACCACCTGTTGAGGTTGCATCATAAGTCTCTACTAGGTGCATGCATTTTTTTTTTTCTAGACATTTCTGTAGACACCATCAGGCATGATGTGAAGCCATTTTACCTAGCTGGTTATATGCCTTAACGTCTTGAACAATGGTATGGTTTTGTGTCAGTTGAGTTTGTAAATGATTTGAAAAGTTTCTGTTAGTTTCAACACTACCAAAACCCCCTGCAATGTACAGTGCTAAATTCAGGCCTCCTGGATGAAACTTCTGAGACATGTCAGTTTTGGTCTCTGCTACCAGAATTTGGGTCAAACAAATTCACCCATGGAAATAAATTTTGTCATTTCTTTTCTGCCTGTTTCTGAGCATCCTCAGACTTTTAATGACACAGTTATTTTAATTATTTTCATACTGAGGAAAAAATAGGATTAAAAATTTTTGAGTGTATTTTCCATGTTTTTACAATTTCTTAACAGTTTTTATATATTTTATTCAGGATATGAAAAATGTATGATCTGTTTGTATACACTAAGTATAATTCTAACTACTGCTCTTTTATGTATCTACTATTGTGTTAATCTCCTTAGTCATATGATATATAAATTTTATGTAGGATACGTATTTACATATGCATGTCATATATCTAGTAACTAGAAGTTAAGTATTTCTACTTTCTGTAACACTGTGTTTATTTCCATAATTGTTTTCTAGAAAGGTAAAAAGCCATTTCTTCTGGCCTCTGAAAAAGGCCATGTTGACATGATAAAAAATTTGATTGCTCTGAAGCTATTTACATCTGAAAAAGATGAGATAAATGTTTCTTTTCCACAGAAGTACAACTACAAATGTGCTTATGAAAGATTATTTTGTTTCACTGTGATTATTATACAATCAAATATCTGAGTGCTCTGTATAGATGTTACAGAGATATATGGGACCAATAAATATAAAAGGATGCTGATTTTTTTAGTGGTTAAAGGAAGGCAGTGGGATGATTGCCAGGAGACTTTTCCATACACATTCATAATTTATGCAAAGCAAGACTAGCATATGCTGTCTGCTGAGAGAAGTGGGGAAGCCTGGTGATACAGGTGTCAGGCTCTTCTGGGAGATCAATTTCTCAGTATTTCACTCTGTGTCTGTGTCACTGTGTGACCAATTTTTCAAAGGTGTTTAAAAGCTTCAGGATGAAAATAAACACCTATAAATTCTTTTTCAGCAGTACCTTTACACTTCAATCTGATTGAGTTTTTTTGACACTCTATTTTAAGGTATCTTAGTAATTTTCGAAGTCTGCTCTTAAATTTATTTTTCCTCACTTTACTATTTCTGGAATGAGCAAGTTAGTATTTCTCTGCATCTGAGACATTGTAAGGACAAATACATTAAAAATTGTGAATATGTCAGATACTGCATTTACAGAACCACATAAGTAAGCACTCAGAAAGTGATGTTGGATTTCTTTCTTTTCTGGTAATAGTTTAAAAGCTGCAGTGCCAACCAGAACTCTGCTATGCTAAGCAGTTTGTCAGCAGAGGTTGAAAGATGTCATTGTCCCAGATATCTAGCAGCTTAAAGGTGTCAACAGCACCAGGAGGTAAATGCTGTGGTCCTGCAAATTAAGTAAGAAGACAGGACAGAAACTCATCTCCAGGGTCACCAAACTAAATCACACTGTAACCATCAATGTTAAAAAGGATTCCCACATCTTCCCACTCAATGCTGTGAATGAAAAACTGTTCTGGACTCTCATTTTCCTGAGAGTTAGGATTCTTCTAATTTTTTTTGCCATTTTTATACTATTTTGTATGCTTACATTTTCTTTTAGTTCAAAAGCTGTGGCTCTGCCTGAAGTTGTTAGTTGCTTTTTTTTTTCTTGGTGGTGTGGCGTGGTGTTTTGGTTTTGGTTTTGTTTCTGTTTTGTGTTTTTTAATTTTCTGGAAAGAAATTGCACTGACGGTGACAGAAATCAAAGACTGTGATGTTGATGTCAAATTTCTGTACTCTGACCTAGGCTTTTTTACTCTTTAAATCACTGGTCTTGGGGGTTCAGTGTAGTACCTGAAGTTTTCTTCTGGTTCATATGTTAGGAGTTAGAATTTCAGATCTTTTTGCTGGTATACATTGAAGTTTTCAGACAACCAACCAGAACGGACTAGATCAAGATTAGACTGAATCTTGGCACATGCTGTGTGCAGTTGCCTCCCTCTCCTTGTACGCAAAGGACCAAAGGCATTGTGTTGGTTTTAATAGTTGTCTTTATTCTGGATTTTAAAATATATTATTTGACATTTTAATTGCAAAGAGGGAAACACAGCATTGCATTTAGCAGCCAAAAATGGTCACAGTGAAGTTGTGGAAATTCTACTTGAACAATGGGAGGAAATAAATTACCTCAATCAGGTAAGTACCCTAAACTATTGAAAAAAATAAAGTCAAATATTTGAAAAATGTTCTAAAAAAATCAAATCTAAAGGAAGAGATGTGGCACTGAGGACACTTCATTAGTCTTGCTGGTTTCCTAGTAACTTTGCATCCTGTTTCCTTGTTCCTTGTCCAATAAATTAAGCTCCCTTAATTCCTTCAGTGTCATGCTCTGTCCTCTATGCCTTACACACATCCTCCCCTGCATTTGGCAAGCCCTTGCATAACTACCAGCAGAAGAGAGCAGTGGAAGGCCTTAACCCTGTTGCTCTCTGGCATCCAGCATTTTTAGCTGTGTGATCTCATTCCTTTTAACATCTCACTCTTAAGCACTTCTGGTGCTTTTCAGCCTATTCATTGAGCAGTTTGACTTGCATACCAAGCACATACCATCACAGGCACTTCAGCAGAGGTAATCTGTATCTTGTCCATCTGACCTCAGTTGCACAAAAGTGGCTGCAGACACTGCCCATCCAATTTGCTTTCCTAGTTTAGTGTTGGTGAAGCTCAGCCAGCGTATTCATCAATTATGTATTAGCTGTGAAGGTTGTATCCCTGATTTAATGCACTCTTGAGGTTCATTTTAAGGCTTAAACATGGAGTGGAGGAGGGAAATGCGCACTAACTGCTCCTCTCAGCGTTCTTGCTTTGCAAAGGGTTCATGTCTCTTCTGTTTCTTCTATGGGGCAGCTGGAACATCCTGGGCAAGGTAATTTCCTTTGTCGTGGGCTGGAATGCCCGCTGTGGGAACCTGCCATGTGGTTGATGATTTCCTCTGCTGGGCCGCGGGGCAAAATGAGTAACTCCTACCCAAGGCCCTCCTCTTCCTTAATCAGACTGACACACTGGTGAGTTGAGAAGTTCCCTGTTATCCAGCTTGTCTGCTGTTTTCAGCTGTGCCTGTTGTGAGGCTCACGAGCCTCTTTGAAACATGGAGCCCTCGTGTTTCCAAGGCTTGTCTAAGAATGTTGCGCACAAAGCTTGTGCAGCTTGTGCCCCTGTCTTGACATGGCTAATGGTGTGACCTTCCTCTCCAGCTGGAGATGTAATCCGTGTAGGAACAGATCTCTTTTCCCACAGCATGAGCAAAATACTAAAATGTATTAAGTTTACCAGAATAACATCAGGATTTTAAGCAAAGAAAAATTAGGATTCATTGATTTTTTTTTTTTTTTTTGTGATTGTTGAAACACCAGAGTAACTTTCATTAAACCTTTGTGTATTTTAGATGTTGAGAAGCAGGAATTAGATAATTGTGTAGCTGATGTATCCCATTTTATAGACTTGGAGACATGGAGACTCCTTCAGTGGGAAAAGATTTGAAATAAACGTTCAACAAGATTATTTCTGCTTAAAGCTCTCCTTATAACTAGCACTTAGGGTTGTCAATTTTTCAGAAATCCATGACATTGCACAGAAATTGGAATTACCGTATGTACTAGCATACTACTGTTTTTTTCTGGTGTTGAATGGCAACAATTGCTGCCCACCAAAAAGAGCATGATTAATATTTATGAAATACTTTTCTGTATTGTAAACCTTACTATATCTCTGTCCAGATAAACATCATCTGTCACTTAACTGCTAGTGAGTAGCCATGTCATTCAAGAGTGGGATGAGCCTGATGGAGCCTACTGGAGGTGTTTTGTGTCTCAGTGTTGTAGTCACATCTCTTAAATTGGAACAGACATTTTGTCTCTTTTGGTCCAGAATGGAGAAACTCCATTTTACTTGGCTGTTGAAGGAGGTCATGAAAAATGTGCTGAACTCTTACTGGAGGCAGGGAGTGAGATTAATGTTTCAACACAGGTACACAGTATCCCTCCTACTGGGACATACTAGACTGTGAAAAAGACCTTACCAGCAAAGGATATTTGCTCTACTTTTTTTTTTTTTTTTTTTTTTTTTTTTAGTGAAACAGGTTACAAATAGAATGGGGAATGTAGAGAGTATGAACAGAATAAAACCAATGTGGAAGTAAAATAGCATTAGCTTTATTTGATGGGGTGCTGTGGTGGAGCTTTTTATTTCCTGTATGCCCACTAGTACAACAAATGACTAAAAAATGTGACCAGCTAGGATAGCTGAAAATCCTCCTTTTTGGCAGTACATGTGACTGATCTGATGACAAACTTGTTCTCTACATCTGATTACTGAAGTGCAGTCCAACTTATATCTGCTGAATGGCCTTGGCTAGCCTGCTGCAAGAAGTTTATGATTCCAGCAGAATGAGAACAAACTTAAGCAGAACTATTTTGTAAAAATTAGTTTTAAACATTTATTTTCTATTTTTTTATTTTTCTATTGATTTGTTAACTTTCTATGGATTTACTGGTTAATGTGACCATACTTGCCTGGTAAGGGCCTAACAGACTAACTGCCTGACAGAGTAGATGTGTTGGCATTGTTGTTGTCCATGGCACAGTATAGATGATAATGATGATCTGTCTCTTTTTAAGAGAAATTGGATGGGGCTATAGGATACAGGTATTCTTAAGTATGTTTGTTGTGATATAGTAAAAATGGAAATTTCCTTCACTGTTGACAAAAATATCATGACAACTGCTGATGTGCTTCATTTTGTATCATTTTGTCAAAAGGTTTTATTTGTGGAGAGGATACTAAGACAAATTTAAATGCAATATTATACTATATTTATACCTCTCTTTAATACTGTTTTTTTTCAGCAATAAAAATGTAAGTTTTTCTGTCTATCAAATTTCTTTCAGAACAATAGCAGTGCTTTGCATGTTGCAATACAGAATGGACATTTATCCTTGGTTACTTTTCTTATTGATAAGAATATTGACCTGGTTCCTAAAGCTGAGGTGAGTGTTTATCAGAATAACTCTTCTGCTGCTGCTCAGCCTGTCCCGTCTTTCCATAGGAATTCAGACAGCTGAATGAGATTGAGTAAAAAAATTCATCACCTTGAATTTTTTCCTAGACACACTGCTACTTGGTTTCTAGATGCTGATTATCAGCACATACCAATAGAGACAAGATGCTGTTGCCAGCCCAGTGAGTGCCTGAGCAGGCTGGTGCAGTGCAGAGTAGGCATGGCCGGGCTATGCCAAGGGCCAGGCATTCAGAGAAGAAGAGCAAAGTGCCCTGCTTGAATTTAGCAGTAGTCATGCTACAGGCAAAGAGTCAACATGATTTTGAATAACGATAATGAAAATGTAAGTAAACGATCAGTGCTTTCACATTGCAGGTAAATGCACCCTCGGCGCCTTCAAAATCTGCATGCCAAACTTCTTTGCAATTTGAAAAGAAAGAGGTATTTATATTATCCAAATCCTCTCTCAATTTAGATATTACAGATAATTGAGATTTTCTATGAATAGAATATTATTTTCCACTTCTACTGTACAGGATGAAAATAGAATCTGGACTTCATGACTTATGACTTGATCACTGACCTCTTGCAGAAAGCTGTCAAGGAATAACAATTTATGTTGTGCTTGAAATGATTTAAAGGTCAGATAGTTGCTGTACTATTGTTCTCCTTAGCTTTCTGTAGCAGAAGCAACTAAAAAAATTGTAACTTAAATTTTGCAAATGTAACTTAAATTTTGCAAACATCACAATGTTGCATAAGAGCTTGCTTTATTTTTCTGTGGCCCTGAAGAAATGTTTTACACAGCCCTAAAGGCTGTGTTTTATAAAGACACTGAACTGGCACCTGGCACCATGAATGGTACTGGTATGTAATTATTCTTTAGTTATATTTTGCAAGAAATTGATCAGTCACAGGTTCAACATACAAAGTGTTGTAACGTGGTTATCACACAAAGTGATCTTACCAACCTAGTGTGGATTTTGACTGGTGTTGAATCTGTGGCCTGGTTATATTAATAAATAATCAATAAAATAAAACCTCTGTCTTACTAATTGTAATTTGTTGTATTTTATAAATATGACATCAAGTCACTTAAGTACAAAGAGCATTTCCAGCAGCAACACGTGACAAAGGTTTGTTCCTGGAAAGTAGATTTCGACATCAGTTTACCGAATATAGAATGAGTCAGTCTCCAGGCCATTCAACAAAGGGCAAGGCCACTTTTGTGAGGGAGCAGAAACATTACCCTGATCTCTCTGTTGTCAGGATAGCAGCCCATCCCAGTTGAGGACATTTAGGAGTGCCTTGCTGCATTCCTAAGTGGTGGATGCACACTGATGCACACCCCTGTGCACTCAGCATTTCCAGTGTTCTCAGGTGTATTTCTTTACCTAGTGGTGAAGAAAGGTAGGTGGGAGCAGGCTACCACCTCTGGTATACTCCACACACCCAGGTGTGTTTTCTGCAGAGTTGAGCCTCTGCTAGAGCATGTCAACTTTGCAAGCAGTGGGCTTCAATAAGAAACTCTTTCTTGTTTGCATGAGCTTGTAATAATATTCCCAACTATAATAATTTATTATTTTCCCTCCACAGCAGAAGAATTCCCCTCTCCATTTAGCAGTTCTCAGTAATAATCTACTGGTAGTAAAAAGCCTTTTGGATGCCAATCACAACATAAACTGCTCAAATCACGTAAGAAAAGCTGGGAATTTACACAGCTTTATTGGCATAGGGGAGATTATGTGGGTTTTGCTTGAATATTTTTTTTCTCTTATGAGCCCAGGGTACAAAAAAATAGGAAGGAAGGTCCCTCCTAATGTGTTTTTTTGGTTTTTTTTTTTTTGTGTACATATGTATTAATCACTGGTACATGCTGTGCTAATATTGTTTGAGCAAGATAAGGATAGCACAAGGATGCTGTATATTCAGAAAATGATTGGGTAATCTATTGTTCAAGTGTTAAGGTTCATGTGTAATAAATGACAGAAATGTCTAATGGTATTGGCTTCAGAGGGAAGCCCAGTGCAGAATGTCATTGGCAGGAAAGAAGTTAATTTTTCCTTTAACCTGCCACATGTAGTGTTTTAGATCTGTGACCAAAACAGGGCTGGTAAAGACGACGCTGTTAAAGCTGCTGCTGAACTATGCTTGCACAGCATCAACATATTCTTCCCTGTTTCATACTCTGTGTCCCACCTTAATTGACTGGGGTGCTCAGGGGGCTGGGAGGGGGCAGAGCTGAGCAGGGCTGAGCAGCCACAGCAACACAGAATGACAAGGTCATAGGTCTCTGCGATGCAATCAGCAGAGTAGCTGTTAGCTGAAAGGATGCTGGTTTGAGCCCATCCATGGATAGCTACACCTGTCTTCCTTACCTTAACTAGGATTCTTTCACCCTGCTTGGTGTCAGTGGTCTTTGGAGACCTGGTTAGTTGTTGGCCAGTTCACACAGATCAGATCAGATCAGTTCACTGTAGATCATATCCACCACTGACGTGTGCCGTACTTCGGTGCTGTCATGCTTGATCCCTTTTTTGCTGTAAAAAACTCCTATAATTGTTAATATCCATTTCTGCTTTTGCTGTGTTGCATATCACTTTGTGTTGCTTTGCCTGGTAGAGAGATAGAAGTACTGTGCCTGATCTGGTGGTTTTGGGCCTTACAATGCCACTCAGGTGTACTCAGGTGACCATCTCATGGAGAAAATTAATAATTGCACATTTTCATTTCCCTCCTTGGAGAGGTGCTTTGTTGCAAGAGGAAAGAATGGCATTTGCCCCTTCGTCTCCCCCAGGACAGCTCTCTCCCACCTTCTTATAACCCTGCTCTGTTCCTTGAATATCCTGGCATAATCACATCCTTCATGCTAGTGTGTGTTGTGAGCATTATTATTGTGAGTAACAATTAACAACTAATTGGGAATGCCACACAGGGATTTGCCTGGAGGCAAGTAAATTCTCAGGTGGAAGGAACTGAACACGTGCCTGAGGCTCTACCTGCCTCCAAGTGTTTGGGATTTCCTGCCTTAGCAGGAATATAGGCCCCAGTAATTCATACACCATCTGAAGGAGGGGAGCCTTGCCCGCCCTGATGAAATACAAGGATTTCCAATGCTGTGTTGGGTCTGGCCCTTGCCTAGAGAGCTGCCATCCAGCACCCTCAAAAGAGAACAAGGGTTTCCTGATCAAGGAGCATGCAAAGGGACACTGAGAAGCTCTGAAGCCACTGTAAGTGAAAACTCACTTAGCTGGAGGTGAAAATGGGAATCTCCTTTGCTTAACCAGAGACCCAGCCCTCAAATATAATAATTGTGCCTGAACTCAAGGAGAGATGATGGAAGTAGATGCTGATTTGCTTAGAAAAAGAAAAAGCAGCACCTGCTCAGGGGCCAAAGGGGGAAGATTCAAAAGAGGCAGCCTGGCCTGTAGCAGGACAGGAAGGGGGAAATACTAGAATGACAACAGAAGCAAAACAACCTGGTGTCCATCTCTGAATGACCTCTTAGGTAGGCAGCAAGTACTCATCCGTCAGCAAGATAAATTAAACACACGGTTACCTGACTGCTCCAGTGTTGGGAATGTAGGGAAGCTCAGGGGAGTCCATCTCTAGGGACTAAGGAATTGACAAGGGGATCATAACAGTCTCTGGAGATGGTTCTTATTGAGCATGAATGCAAAGTGTCTCCTCAAAGAAGATACCTGTGGCACTTCAAAGAGAACCTCCCATCAGCCCTACATCTCAGCCATCCACCTCAGTGGAAAGACTGTTCCAGCAGGCCCCTCAAGTCCCATTCAGGGGGCATTGTGGCTCACTGCTGGGGAAATGCAGCCTGGTCTCCCTCATGGCATGTAGAGGTGCTCCCCACAATAGCAACAAGGATGAGTCTTTGAGAAATCTGTGGTTCACCCCTTCCCATTGTTCATTTTATTGCTAGAGATTAATTTATACCATTTTTGCGTAAGACAGAGGCTGTCATTTGTGGTTGGAGTAAAGTATAATGACAAGACTTTCTGGTCACATAAAACAGAGAATTCTGTAAATTTCTTCAACATATCTTTGAGAAATATTTTGCACTATGTCTTTAGCTTGCCTGAAGTTGCCTACAGTAGGTACTTATGAATCCCTAAATTTCTTCAGGAAAGAACGTAGGGTGTATGAATTTAAAAACTACTTTTTATTAATGGGAATAAAAAAGTAAGGTAAATACATGAGATTGTGTGATCACAGTGTAAACTGTAAAATTAACTGATGAGACTTTTAACGTGGAACCATGAGTCTGGTGTTTCTTAGTGTGCAAACCTTTAATTAAGGTCTAAAGGTCAAAGAATTCTCTAACCAGACCTATAGAATCTAAACTTGCAATGTCAGAGAAACACAGGCACAAAACATTCGACTCAGAAGGATGTGTCCCAAGAAACATACTAAGGAACATTCCCATGTATGCAGGACTTCCACAATTCCTCCATTATTTGCTGCTGCCTTCCACTTGAAGATATCTGGATTTTCTTACTCTAATTTCCATAAAAGAATAAATAAATACATATTTGGGTATATGTACCTATGTAGAGACTATATAACCCTCCTTTCAAACTCAAAGATTTACTTGATGGTGAATGTAATTTTTGCTGTATTTCTTGTTAATGGTTTGGCCTTGTTTAATGATTTTGTTTTGGGTTTTTTGTATGTATGTTGTTTAATGTTCACTGAACCCATTATGGAGTAGGTAGACTTCTGATGTGTATCATCATTTTGTGGCAGGGATGTCTAAAAAGTTCTATTTTAGATGGATGGCATAATGTATTGTTGAAAACTGTGGATATCCAGTTGTCTTGGCATGAATTTCAGCAGGGAAAAGTTTACTTGAGAGGATAATATGGGCGTGGGTTGCCAGATACATGAAGCCCTCTGTCCAAAGCACCTTGCTTTAAGAGGGAAGAGTTAGAGCAAGCTTGTTAGTTTACAGTACATTAGAGTGGCATAACAACAACCCTTTCCTGAGCCAGCTGGAACTTCTGCCTGGTTTTCCTGCAGAGATGCCATATGCTGTCTTGTCTGCCTGAAACAAAACTGGCAGAAGTTAAATGATTTCCCTCTGTTCAGGATTTTCTCGCCAAGGTGACCTCTTATGGAGAATCTATTTTAGATTCAGTCTGTGAGCATGCTATTTCTAGGGGTAAGCTGGATTCAATGCATTTATTTGGTGTCTTCAATTACAGAGGCAGGAAACCCCTCTACATCTGGCAGCTGATCTTGGCAATGTGGAGTTGGTGGAAGTCCTGCTGAAGTCAGGCTGCAATCTCAAGACCATGGATAAGGTAAATTGCATTCCTCACAAACGTAAGGATTAGATGATTTTATTTTTCTGTTCTATAATCTTCCTCACAGAGGTGCATAAAGCACATGTTGCTAGTTGTGTTTGCTAAGTAAAGCTAACTACAAAAGAAGTCTTCTTTTTATATTGTTATACCTGCAGCTTGCAGGGTTCTGATGGTTTTGGTGAAGAGCTGTAAAATTCCCATACTCTGTGGTTTGAAGGATAAACACTTTTTCCAGAAACCTTTCATGGAAAAAAGGGTCTAGACTTGCAGTGGGGAAAATGGCCTGTGGCTCATTGTAACTGTGCACCTGCAGCCGTGCTCAGTGCCGGGAGAGATGCAGCTTCATCAGGTGCAGTGATGGAGAGTTTGCCCTTTAGCACTCCAGGTCATCTGAGAATCATGGAATGGATATTCCAGATCCATTCAGATGGATACTTAAACCCTGAGATGATGTTCTGCCTGAAAGATAGAAACAAAAATGGTAATGGCTGGAAGAAGTACCAAAGCAAAGTTGCTGGGGAAGTGCTTTTGAAAGAACAGAGTACCAAACCCAGTATTTACGTATTTTGCTTAATTACTGCGAGTTTGAGTGTTCCCTGTTACCACTTTTCTTGATATTCCGTATGACTGAGTTGAAGGATTTGATGTTTATTATGAGCAAAATCTCGCCCTTTTGTAACTTTAAAAAGTAACTTTCCTGCCCAAAACTGTCCTGATGAGAAATGAAGCTTTATGGATTAGGATTGTCTTGTTTTGCCCTAGTCTGACATGCAGCCTGGAGCTCTGAGTGTGGGTTGCATGGTTGGTAGGTTTTGGGATGCTATAGTAAAATGCTGCATTGTAGTTAAGCCTTTCCATTCAGAATCATGCCTACGCTTGCCAAAGGGCTGCAGTTCTCATAGGGATCAACCCAGAACGAAATCTTGTCCACTTTAAACAGCACCTTAGCTACTGGGAAATTTTTTTCAACCTTTGTATTTCAAAGGCAGATACAAAAACCTATTTACTGCCTATGACCTTAAGCACCTGCAAGTCTCTGGGGGAGGCAGCGCCCTTGTATTACAGCAAAACTGATAGAGAGTGTTTGGCTCTGAGCTAGTGCAAGTTCTAGAACAAGTCACTTTTCTGCAGTGGTTTTCTTTCCTGGAGTAGCTTTTTCCTTGCCTATTTGCTAGATGATCCCTGAGACCATGCCACTGCTGGGAACATTTGCAACTACAGTGCCCTTTGAACTGAATTGGTGCTGGGATGCCAAAAATGTTACTGTCCTTGCTGAAGAGCAGACAGGAAGAAGGGGAGCCTGCTTTGATTGCACAGTATTTTTCTGGTCTCCATGTCCTGGCAGCAGGAGTACTCAGTCTCCAGAGAATGCCATGCATCTGCTCCTGTCAGAGGTCAGGAAATGCACTCTGTCTTTGGTTGTGAGTGCACAGAGCTCCCCCTGTGCCAGACTGCTGTGCTGCATGTGCATGCAGGATGCCAGCAGTGTCTACATTATCACAGGGGTACAGAAATACCTCCCTTATCCACTGCCTCTCTCTGCCCCTGTGAAACGCAGAGCACCTCTCCAGAGGTGAGCCCAAAGAGTTCTTGTGGTCTCTGGACTCTTCACATATAAAATATGTCTATGCAAAAGATTTAATGAAATGCATGTTCATTTGCTCATGATGTGATGCTCTTCTAAAAACAGGTTAATTAGAATGCTCTTGAGCAGAGCCAGGAGCTAGAACTCAAAAGGTGTATATTAGGGAACTTTATATTATCTGGAGAACTGAAATACCTTATAATTTCATTATAATTATAATGATATTATATATATATTATATTGTATTATATAATATATATATTATATATTATATTATATATAATATATAATGATATTATAATGAAATAATAATTTCATTAATGAACCTTCTAATTAAGGGATTGATTTCTTTTAGATTTAATTTTCTAGAAATGCCTAGCACTTGTTATGTGGAGAATGATACTAATATATAAATCCCAGGCATTTGCACTCAGTGCAGATCTGATGAAAATAGGTAATTGCAGAGAAATCCCTTTAGAGCCACCATGATGCCTGTGCATCAAAGTGCTGATAGGAGAGATGGGTTCAGGTAGACTGAGCAAACCTCTGCAGCTGGTGTTACAGCAATGGCTTAGAATAACTGTGACTCCTTCTATACCCATGAAGCATCATCCTACATCTGTGCTCCTTTCAGCTGTAATGAGAAAATAATTTCCTTTTAATTCTGTGAGCCACCTTCTCTTACCATCTAAAACAAGGCACAGGTTTGCCCTGTAAGTTGGAGATTGCCAACTTTGCCAGCCTATCCACCTGAAATGCCAGTTTAGCCATAGCATGGGAATGGACTGTATTTGTGGTAGTTTGAATGTGGATGCAGTGACTGGAGTGTGCAAGCTGGTATGAAGTATGCAAGTCTGAGTGCAGGTTTCTGGGGAGTTTAGTGTGTGAGAAAACTGACCACCCCAGGGCTGAGGTGATACAGCTTATGCAGAGCGTGGGACTTTGATTGTAGCTATCCAAACGCCATAAAAAACAGATGGGCTCTGTAATCAGCCCCTGTGTTTTTCTTCTATGACACACCTTCTATGACACACCAAGATAATGTTCTGATTCACTGTCTTTGCTTTCAGCATGGGAAAACTGCACTAGCCATAGCATCACGGAACCATCATGCCCTCATTGTAGATATGATCATTAAAGCAGAAAGGTATTTTGCCATGAAACAGGTAAGAGTCATCTTTCATTAAACACAAGATACCTAAGGGAAAAGCCAGTTCTGATTTTGAACTCCCTTTTGGCTGAGGTGGTTCCTTTTGGCAGGCAGCAAGACTGGCCTTGATGAACAAAAGTTAGGATTGGAAATGGGAAAGTCTCTAGCCCATCCAGGATTTATTCCTGACTAGCTGTAAAACTGTAAGTGGATCTTCGCATTTTCCTGCCTTGTGCTGTGCACATAAAGGGATGGAAAGAGATTCTAAGCCAAATTCAAACTGTGCCATCAGTATCATGGAATAACATGGATCCACGTTGATTCCTGGATCCTTTGGTACAGTAAAATCTATGGTTGAAAAATAACAGAGTGAAGATGCCCTTTGCTAGCAAGAGCTCAGCTACTTCAACAGAAGCTCCTTCTTCTGTCCCTTGTCTGTTAACTATAAAATTAAATCAATGAGAAGAAAAAGAACTTCACAACAAGTGTGAAGGACATGGCTTAGGTTGTCTGAATTTCTCACCTTCTTTCCCTAGTTGTTACTTAAAAGTACACTGCATAGTGATGGGCTTCTCTAAAGGGCTACAAGTAACTGCCATATCAATTTGTGATTTTGTTCTCACTCCTGCTTTCTGCTGCGTTAGCCAAGTGTATAAGCATACTGATCCTGCCCCAGAGAAGGTACAAGGATTAGCTGGTTTTACCACCTCACTCCTCTCCTGAGTGGCCAAATCCTGACACTTAATGTTACAGGTTGGTGAATCACAGACCTAGATTAATTACTGCAAAAGTAATCCGTGAACACGCTGTATTGTGCATTTGATTTGCACCATTTCAGCTGGAATTGTCAGGTACATTACTGTTTCTTTTGGTTTAAAGAGGAATTAGAAGTAGTCTGTTGCCACAGAATACATGAGAAATCTGACAGCAGTAAGCCCATAATATTCTCAACCACTTGGCATAGTTCACTGAATTTTCTGAAGAAAATAAAAGGTGTTAAGCAGATGCTTTTCTGCAAAGCACCAGAGATGTTGGGAAATAAAATGTAAATATTTGTATCCTGTTGCCTGAAGCTGAGAGTGCAGAAACAGCTTAAATCTTATAGCTATGGAATGTGATGCTGGTGGTGTTACCATACCAGAACTACAGCATTTTGAACCGTTATTTTAAGGACTGTCTTTTTGTTGCATTCAGCTGACTTGTCATTTGTGACAAAGCCTTGGTTACAACAGGAAATGTTATGTAGCTGAGAGGAAGCGCACATGATACTGAAGTGTGACTGTCATCTCTCTGCCCTCTTCTCTATTTATCACTTCTATCCAACCCTTCCCTATCATTGTCCAGGCTGGGTTTAACTGGATTTGAGGGTAGCTGTTACTATCCCACCTTGCTGTTGCCTTAAAACACACTTAGCAGCAAAGGGAGGCTGTGCTGCTGCAAAGGTTGGGGTTTTTTTGGTTTTTTTTTGTTTTGTTTTGTTTTTTGGGGTTTTTTGGGGTTTTTTGGTTTGCTTGAGTTTTTTTTATGTGTGTTTTTTTTTTAATTAAACATCACAAGCAAATGATATAATCAGAGAGACCCTGATGCTGTCCTGTAGAATGTCCTAAACTTTACTCTGCATGTGTTAAGAAGCATGAAATAAAGTCTGCATCAGATGAATGGGTCCATAAAAAACATGACAATGCTTAGTTACTGAACTGCCACATTTTTTTCTCTGTAATTCTCTCTTGGAGTTAGGAAATAACTCTGCTGTGTTTTTCTGAATTTAATTTGGAATAAAGCACTTTATGCTTAGTATTTTAAAATGTGACCTACTGCCATTTTCCTGTCATTTAGTATCTGCTTTGTCATTCTCTATCAAATTAATAAAGAAATTTCTTCTCTTTGAAATTCTTTCCCTATTTGAAATAGGACTAGTACATAAACATAATGAAATACAGAAAGAGCTAGAGCTTACCTACCTAGGAATGTTCCTGGGCACAGCTTAGCTGTGATCACTGATCACAGCTGATCACTGATTGACATGGTTTTTGCCAAGGTGCCCAAACAAAATGTGTACAGTAGCAACATCACTTTTAATCAGGAGGGTAAGATCTGTGAGAACCCCGGGATTGATTTGGGGCTCTCGTGTGGTGGTAAAGTTTTTCCTCTAACCCGCGCTTCCAAAGAAAAATTCCACAGCCTCTTGTTGTCCGGTCTCAAGGTAGTTTATTGCTAGCTATCTAAAAGATTGTCCTGCGCTGCGGCTGCTTTGGTTTGCGGCCCAGGCAGAGGTACACACTCTCCTGACACTCTCACTGTCCGGTGTCTTCGTCGTCTCTCTCCCCGCTCAAAGCTGCTGCTATCTTTTATATGATATATTACGTACTATATGTTTATAGATTTTCTCCAATACCTACTATCTACGTTACAATGTGCTTTTCTACTCTAAACCAATCTGTGAATGCCGACATCACCAAGAACATGGAGGTAAGGAAGAAGAAGGAGGAAGAATAAGATAAGGACCACTTTCCTCCATCTTAGAACTCCTGACCCCCCTGTACAAAGTGAAAACCCCCCTGTACAGGTACTAAAACCCCCCTGTACAACACTAAAAAATTTTACCCTCTAATTTGTGACTACTTTTACTATACCATCTAACATTCTGTGACTGCTTGTTCCACCCTCAAAGTTGGTAATTCATTCCATGGTTCAAACTCAAAATCACAGTTGTTTTCAGCTGGCTGCCAGGGTCTAAAATGCTTCTGACCAAGGCCTGGAACCTCTAAAAATGTCTGAGGGACATTTTGGGTTCCGACAAAGATCCATGTGGTTTTGGTTTCTATCTGATTTTACTTATGCAGGAATGAAACTAGAACCATGCTCAACACACATGTGCACATTGGTGTTTAGACACTTTGCTGAATGGGCGTCTCCGTGATAAACATAATGGCTGATGGTGCCAGCAAAGAAACCGAAGTCCCCACTTCAGCTAAGTGAAGCTGACAGGCCAGGTACAGGGACAGGTTGAGCAGGCACTGTGTCCATGGTGTCTACCCTCTCCCCAGGAAGAGATTAGTGCTTTGAGAAGCAAGAGAAAATGGTGAGAACTGTGCCTGAAACCCAGCTGTGCTCTAAACGTGACATAGACAGAACCAACCAGCACAGCAGTGCTGACACAACAGTTGCTGTTACTTTGCTTTTGTCTACCAAGTACCAGAGAAACTGGCTTATTTTGCAATTAACTCAGTAAAACATAGCAACAGACACTGGAATTCCTTGTTTCAGTTTCTATGACCCATACAAACTTCCTTTATGGGCACTGAGTAAATCATCTGTCAGCAGCTACATCTGTACAGGACCTCAGTGAGCAAAGGTTCCCAGCTCTGTTACACAATTTATCATCTGCTTTCTTTTTCAGACACATCTAGCTCATAGTGGTAATGGGTCAGACCTCAGCGTGTCCTTCAAACAAGATCACAGCACACAGACCAAGCAAACCCATTCCTCCCTTTGGAATCTAGCATACAACCAGTTAAAACCCCATGAATGGAAAAAACTGGCTGTGTTCTGGAAGTTCACAGATGAACAAATTAAAGCTATTGAAGAACAGTGGACAGGTAGCAATATCTGAATGGCCAGACAAAATATATAGGATAGAAAAACCCCACAGGGCAGTGTTGCTTTTTAAACTATGTGAGTACCCCATAGTGAAGGGGGTATAAGCCTTGTCCCTGGTTCCTGGGAAGCAGTGTTGTAGCAGTACAGGACACTTCTGCTCTCTCTCTTGGCCTGAAGGAACCTTTCTTTGGAGATCAAAACTAGAAGCCCTGAGCATCACAGCAAGGTCTTGGGGGTCATGCTGCAAGTCAGGACCTGGGAAACCTCATGACAGAGCAGTTTTGCTCAAGCTCTGTCTGTACAGCTGCCATGAAACAGGAGTTTCTGGTTTCAGGCCTCTCAAGTGCTGGGAAGACAGTACTTCTACAGCATGTATTGTACTTGTTACTACTGCTCCAGGGTATATTTCCACAGCTTGGGGAAAAATGAAAGAAAATATTAATTTTAAGATGTATTAGGTTTTTTAAATGTCTTAACAGTAGTGTTAAGATAAAATGAGATTTTTTAAAAAAGCTTTTGTAAGCTTCAGTCTTAATTTTTCTGCTAGATGAGAAAGGTAGTTAAGTGTGGGACTCAGATTCAGTCAAAGAAAAGAAACTGAGAGTTTCTAGCCAGGCAGATGCCTGGGAAAGAGCTGGAGAGAATGTAAATAATTCTTTATCTCTCTTGTTCTCACATTGTTGATAGTTAAGTTCTATCACTGTGTGTCAAGCACTCTGCACCAATGGTGTGGCTTGTTTTCACTTCAGAACCAATGGATCTGGCCTTTGCGAAGCTCTGTATAAAAGAGCAGTGTATTTTGAATAAATCGGAGTTTTACTCTCAGCAGCCTTCTGAGTGAGTCTTCTCATTCCTGTCCTGCCTCAACAGCGACAGTTAAGAGTAAAGAAGTAAGTCTAAAACCTCTTGGAACTTTAAAAGTGAAAAAGCACAAAATACACTGTGCTTATTGAACAAATACTTTGTGTATTGCATAGGGAAAAAAAGTTACAAGGAACATGGGAACAGAATGTTGCTCATCTGGTTACATGGTACACTGCTGGCTCATCAGAATCCCGTTAAACACCTGTATGAAGATCTGGTAGAAGCAGGACTTCAGCCTTTAGCTGGTAAGTTGATACACAGCACATCACAGTATCCTCTATGAGACTGCAGTGCCGTGCTGAGGTCCCTACTGGTGCTGGGAAGCTGTGGCCAGGGCAGGGGTGGAGGACACTTACTTCTTTTCTGGGACTGCCCTTCCTGAGGGGTGAGGCTGCTTGAGAAAATGCATTTAGACATAAGGTTTCCAAAAGCAGACGGGCAAACTTTGCTTCCCTCATCTCCTGCACACACTGTTAAATTGTGACTGGCCATCCTTCAATTAGTCAGACCTTGTGCAAAGCAGAGAACACCAATCAAGTGTTTTCTCTTACTTGCAGAAACGATCAGAGCGTCAATTAGCATGGACTCCAGGAAATGTGTCACTTCATAAGTTCATCAACAAAACATGGTATATATCATGCAATTACATGCCAGATGGAAACTGGCTTTCAAATATCTTTTTGGGAAACAAAAATCTTATTTTGAAGTTGAACAACTTTTTCCACCCTAGAAGAACTTGCACTCTTAAAATGGTTACTTTTTTCTCATGCTTGCTAAATAGAGATGTAAAAAATTTAAGAATAAATGGCTGACTGGTAGCTTAAAACTGCTAAGCAAGATTCATCACTTAAAATTTCTATACCTGACCTAACTGCAAATTAAGCCACTTTGTGTTTGATGTAAAGTGTAAACAAGATATTTTCTACATGAAAAAAATTAAATTTAGTAAGTGAAAGTTATGTGTATAAATCAATTAACACCTGGCAAAAAAGTTGGCATCTGGCCTAATTTGGGATTCAGGTTTTATAAATTCTTGCTAGGATTATGACAAATCTTTCTACTGCAGCATTTTGTGTACTCAAGAAACACAAAAATGTCATGTGTAAACACCACGGGTGGCTGGCTGCAGAATTTTCTATCATGGCGTAATACTGTATACATACCCTCAAAGGAGCATTTGATAATTAATACTTCATACATCTAGCAATTATTTACTTAGTTCTTGTTTATATCTTGAATTAATACTTGGCAGCATCCTGCTGAATATGTTTAATGGCTTTCTTATTACCAAATATATTTAATATCTGAAAAATTATGTAAATGTCTATCTTAGTGATCTTTATAACATAGCAATAGTTTTATCATGTAATGGAGGAATTGAATTGCATTTTCTGTTTGCATATAGCTAGCATTATTTTGTACTGAATCTTACTGTTTGTACTAAAAAAGTGATCTGTATCTTAGTCTGAAGTCTTATGCCAAACTTCCCTCCTGTTTGCAACCTTCTTTGACTCTGCTGCAGAGCATCCCAGGAATACGAAGAATAGACCACTAAATTGTAAGGTTTTGGAATTAGGGATCTAAAGTACAGATGCTTGGAACCCTACAGTATTCGTCAAGTTCTGCAACATTAGCTTGCAAAATGAAAATGTTTAAGAATTTGATGGACTGGTACCTCACCTAGCATAAACTGGAGCCTGTGGTGTGAAGGATGCTACCCTGCTGTTCTCCATTTAAATACAGCATATAATTAAAGTGCATGTCAGTTACACTTACTTGCATAAGCAACTAAAAGTGTTTGTAAGAAAAAAAAAATTCATTTTCTCTTGAACATAGATGTTAGTATCATTTGGATTAAACAAGAGATTCAGACAAAAATCACATTGTATTCTTTATTTAAAAAGTGCACTAAAGAGTCCGTAAATAAAAAGTTTTTGACTTAATAATAAAAGTTTGGAGGTAGAACAACCGTACCAAGTTCTTTTTCCCCCCTTCAGGTTTTATTATAAAAGCTCTTAAAAAAAGTCATTTTTTAGAAAAGGGTAAAAACATGATATGCACCTTAGGACTTGCTGCATCAAATCTGAAAAGACTGGGAAGAGGTACCTTGATTAAAAGCCCTTACTGATGAGGAAAACAGTCAGACAGTTCACAACATTTATTGACTGAACACAGGTCTGAGTTTGGCCCCGAAGCACTCGCCCAGCTTGTCCTGCGGGTCTCACAGCCGTAGAGCCAGAAGAATGAAGTTCAAGGATACTTATCAGCACTGACTCGTGATATCGTTTGCTGAAAAGTAATCAGATACATCAAAACACTAAACAACACAAAAAATTCACATTAAAATAGCTCTAGATGAGCTGTAGTTTAAAAACAAAGACCTGCAACCTAGCAAACTGAAATATACTTATCAAGAAGGAAAAGAGAAATAATCATTTAACAGCAAAAGGTTTTTTTCCTAGACTTCCAGTAAACTACGTATTTAGAGCTTTTATCACCTCAATCTTATTTCAAGGTTGTTTTGTTTTAGTTTTTTACTATACTGTTCACAATTTCCCCCTGTAGTGCTAATTTAATCATGCCATCTTTCCTTTTGAATTATTTGCTATGAGGCAGTCCCTGAAAGATCTCTGAAAAGAAAAGGCTTGCAATTTTATCAAGAATTAATTTTCTGCCCATAAAACTAGCCACCTTAGTATAATAACAAGTAGTCATTCTGCTTTTAATCAAGGTAAATTCTGTTCCCTCTCAAATTAACTCAAGACAAATACCTGACTTAAGACTTTTATTTGCAGAATGGGTATACAGAATATATCTCCTGGGCTGTCACAGTTATTTCATTTTCGGAAGTCAGTTTTTGGTACAGTAGTTCAGGTGCTTTCCTCATCACACTACTCACAAAATCTGAATCCAGAAATTGTTCTTCATGAAATAATTACCTCACTAAATCTGTGAACTCCTAAGAACATACAATTTAAATATTAATTTCTGCTTAGGAACCCAAATTATTTAAAGTTATGTGCAGCAAGCCACATGGCTGTGAGTCATAGCAGGAAATGGGGCCCTTTTCTGCTTTTGCTACTGCCATGATGGTGAGTAGACTGAGGGTGCTTGGGAAGCTGGGAGGAGACACAGCCAGGACGGGGACCCAAACTGAACAAAGGGACATTCCAGACCATGTTGCACCAAGCTCAGTGTATAAAGTGGGGGAAAGAAGTGGGAATGGGAGGGGCATTTGGACTGATGCAGTTTGTCTTCCCAAGTAACCATTTTGCATTATGGGGTCCAGCTCTCCTGGAAGTGGCTGAACACCTGCCTGCTCATGGGAAAAACTGAATTAATTCCTTGGTTTGTTTTGCTTGCATGCACAGCCTTTTCTTTCCCTATTAAACTGTCTTTTTCTCAACGCATGAGTTCTCCAACTTTTACCCTTTTGATTCTTTTCCCAAACTCTCTGGTGGGGGAGTTAGTGAGTGGCTGCTCCCACTTGGGCTTGGCTGCTGCCTGGGGTTAAACCATGACATCTCCTCAGCAGTGCCTTCTACACAAAGACAGTAAGTACTGTTTGCTGTTTTCAACAGGCCTCAAGCCTGAGCTTTGTTTAACACATCTTCAAAAGGTAATTTTTTTTCAAACTATGTGTTTTATTCAAAGATGCGTTGTAATAAAAATGCTTGAAGAACATAAATATGCAATCTGATTTACCTGAGTGACTGGATGATGCTTCTCAACAATAACTGAACTCATGGGTGGAGCAACTCTCCTCACTGTTAAACTCCTAAAAGCTCTGGATTTTTGTCCCATATCAGCTCGACCTGTGATTCGAGCAGTGATTGTTCTTCCTGCTTTCTGTTGTGCAGATGTTATTATTTTTGCCATGGGCTATAAATAAATTAAATACTAATTAGTAAAAATTCTAAACATAGTACTTACAATGCTATGTGTTTCTGCTCAGATTTATCTGCCACATGCCTAAACGGAACATGTGATTTTGCAGGTAGTCCAGTTACATTACACAGGACTGAATTTGCTCCACCTGGCTGCAACCAGGATTACTCCATTTTTTCTACTTGTGCAATAGCATTTCAAGTAAATTTCTTCTGTCCTGAGGGAAGCAAGACTAATTTGATAAAAATCAAGAAGCATGGATAGTTTAGCTTTGCTTGCTGACTGCATGCTTAAGTGACAGCTGAAGGTACTTCCATCATTGAGGAAATCCTTTCTAGAAATGAGAGAGCAGATAATAAAAAAGCTCCCATGCATACAAAAATGCATCTTTCTCTGACAGCTGATATCAAACTGTGTCAAATGCAGAAAAGAAAGGAGGGCAGTTTAGCATGAAGCATAGAAAAGGGAATGAGGGAGAAATTTCAAAGAACAGGATAATGAGACAAAGCACTTTCTATAACAAAACATTATCAAGTCAAACACTGATTGTTCCTGTTGCACTATAACTTGAGTGCACTGTTCTATTCTTCATTTTGCCACACTGCCCTACCTACAAAAAGAATATAAAACTGCTCCTAGAGTAAATGAGTTTATGTAACATAAATGAGCATTTTCAAGCTAGTGTCTTCATACTGCTATGTAAACTCTGTGGCAGGGTATTCAACTACATACCTGTGTTGCTCTGAGAAATGCAAAAATAACAACACCCAAACTAATATTCGTTATAATTATGCCCTAAAAGAAGGAAAAAAGTTAACTTTAGCATGTTACCAGTTTTTGAGTTGATGTCGCACCAGATCCCGATGTTGTGCTAGTGACGATAACTGGAGAATCAGAATCTAGTCTGGTCTCAGGAGTGCTTGCATGAGCCAGGTGGCTACAAAACTGAAATGAAACCAGAGTTTACACAGAATGAGCACTACTTTCTAGAAAATACAGTTTTACTCCTTAGATAGCCAGTTTTCTGACTATCCCAATTACTCTTTTAATTGTAATGTCTTTGCAGATATTTTATCTCTGGTGTTACTGTTTAATGTCTAATATAAAATTATTTGTCTAAAAACTGTAGAAATAGTGTGAATAACATTTGTCACTATTAGAACGAAAAGTCAGGAGAGAGGCATGCACATCGTCTCTGTTCTAACCTACTCTCTAGCATGATACCAGTTTTACAGTGGGAAAGTCCAGAGCAGGTCCAAAACAACCACGCTACTAGACGATGATCTGGCTAAGTTGGTAAAAGAGGACAATAAGTTCAGTTCCCTCAATGTCTGTAAGTGTTACCCCACTAAAAAAGAAGTCTGAAGTCAAGCCAGGTTTTCATCTTTCAAGAGTATACTAAATTCAGGTTTTTGTCCCATTCACAGAGCAGTCCCATTCACACCACCTGCACGTTTCCTTTTAGACCTGGACTCTCTTCAAAGAAGCCCCAATCAAGGAATTTCTCTTTTGTCACTAGGAAATACAATTCTGTTCCAGCTACATGCTTACCATGTTTTCCATCTGAAGAGCAGCTGCTGGTGGAGGTGGTGGTGAGGGTTGATTATATTGTGAAGGAGGTGGCCTGCCTGCACCAGTGGTAGCATGATCATTTCTCCTGCTTCCTATATCTATTATTAGAAACACAAAGTAATGGGATAAGCACATAATCTAGCTAACCCTAAAAGGTGGGGATATGGGAGAAGACAATTTACAACTAAAATTTTAATATGTCTTCGGGATTTCTGTATAATCAAATAAAAAAGAGCAGGCTGTTCTTTACAGAGGTAGGTAGGTAGATAGATATAGACAAACATTCCTGTATTTTACCCTCTTTTGAGATGCTTATAAATGTTTTTCAAAGGGCTTGTTTCTCTATTATATCTCAACACCCCTGTGGCACATGTGAACTACTTGTAGTGCAAAGAACTGAGGTTCTTCCTACTGCTTGCCAAAACTAAAATCAGTGTGCAAGAGCTGCTCTTATCCTACGAGACAAAATCCAGTTTAGATAGTAAATTACAAAGGTCATTTGCTCATTACAGGAACTAGAGTGACACTGTGTGGTAGTTGTGTTTGGTGTTTTAATTAGCTGAAATAAGTAGGAAAAATAAAAGGAAGGTCCTTCAAGTCTGTGTAATACTTGAAGATGTCAGGAGTGAAAGGATACCAGAATGTGCATTTTGTACATATCTATGTGTGTACACATACATTAAGCTTAAGCACAGACAGGACCAATGCACAGTTATAGATCAGTAAGATCTGATTTATGTTACAGAAGGAAAACTGTATTAGGACTTCTATAAGCAAAAAGTTATGAATTCCGGGGCTTCAGTGTTCCTTTAAATACATGAAGAGGTTAAAAGAATCTTAATATACTACTAACTTTAAAAAGTCAGCAAATTAGGCAGGTAACTTTAACACCATCAACACTGACACTAAATATTATGAAGCCATCAAGTTTGTGATATATGTACACTATTCATAAATACACTATAATGATATATGATATGTATTTTGCCTGTAGATTGTGTGTATATTAAATGTATATTAAAATAACTTAATAATAGATTTTTACAGAGGTGAAATTGTGCATTTTATGTCCAATGACAGCAGGTGGCACTGCAGTGTTCATATAAATTTATAATTGCTGACTGATTGTGGCATATGGAAGTTTTGATGTCCACAGATCAAAAGACTAGAAACAAATCACAATCATCTTCATGTTTGCAGTCCTCCAGTGTCCTGATCACTGTTCTGCCTGATTAAGAATGCAGATCAACAGTTGTTCAACCATATTAAACAATTATGTAACTAACTTCATTAAAACCACCATCTGGCTGTAAAGAAAAAACAGTATGCCTGGGGCAGGGGAGAAGGTGGTACCAGAGGTGGTGGAAGCTGATGACTTGCTTGGGACCAAGGACAAGAGAGTCTGTGAAATGTTATGAAGCCTGATTAAAAAGCACAATAGTGGACACACAAAGAAATGAGTTACAGGTACGCTAACATCCAGCACAACAAAATCTTTAGGTGTTGTGCTAGTGTAGACTATCAGTTCAAGCTTCTTAGTAAAAATCAAGCAAAATCTTTGGTCCATGAAACTAAAGGTTTGGGCACAAGTATTACAGAGCTCAATTTTCTTCATTTCCTTACTACTTACTCTCATTTTAATAGATCTACAGAAACAATGCTTTCACACCAGTCAATTAACCTTCATTATTAGGGAGACCTGGTGTCTATTGCATGTTTTTTGAAAACAATAGACAAACAAATAAAAGATAATGATTCAAGATAGAGTAATTCTTAATTAGCAACATAGTGAAAAAGTACTTTGGAAATGCCCTGTAATTTTATTCCCAAACCCAGTATCTTCAAGAAATCATTAATTCTTAACCTTCTACAAACACTGATCCTAAATTTTTACTAGCGCACAGCTAATACACTTTGCTAATGTCACATTAATTTCCTAAGCAACTGCACAAATACCATTTATGTTTAACAGGCTTAGACAGCTGCTCAGGAAAGTATCCTCTTGCATCTTCTTCAGGTTTTTATTTCCTCTTCTTATCTACCTTTTTTTGGTGAAGAATTTCTCTAAAGTAGTTCAGAAACTTCTGTGTAAGACTGTTAAATTTAGCAACTGTTACTTGTCTAAGGCTATTAACCACTGCTGCCACTACAGATGGCTGTTGAGCCACACGTATAGCTGTGGCACTCCTGCTGGCACACCTGTTTTCTCTTTGACCTAGGTTGCTGCACCAGCACGATTATGTTCCCACTGCTATGGACTGTCTCAGTCTGAGAGAGTGATTTCATTACATCTGTAAGCACGTGCAGCTGCACAGGTTTTACAGGTATGCTGCTGATAAAAATATACTGCCATTTCCTGTTCTGGCACAGAGTTACAATTAGATACAGAACCTGAGAGATTTGCTTGCCCTTTTTACATTCAAAAGCAGGATTAAGAAAGAAGTGACAGCTGTCTGAGAAAAGCTGATTCATGGCACACTTTGATTCCAGAGTACAAAGCAATTTTCAGGATTTTCTCTTCACTGCTCCATAACCTGGTGTTTTAAGAAGTTTGCCACCTTTGACTTCCTTTTCTGCCTTCAGCTGCAGTTTACCACTCTCCCAGCAATGTGGGATAAAGAGAACATGTTCCTCCTTTCAGCTACAGCTGTATGAAATCCAGCATCAGAGTACTTCTCAACATATTCAACAGGATGTTTTAAAGCAATAAAATTTAATAAACTCTATATTGCCAAAAAAAAAAACTCAAATAAAAAAAAAGAGAAAAGGAACTCCATTAAAACAAACAAACAAAAAATCCCAAACAAATCCAACAAAAATGCACACACGCTACCAGATTAAACCTGCTAGTCATACTAACCAGGATCTGGCCTACTGTCCTTGCTTTGAAACATGGTGATTGCTTCCAGATTCAAAGCACACACACCACGCATAAAGGCTTTCTTTATCGTGTCTTCATACTCATCTCTTTCAGTATGCAGTCGCAGAACCGCAGCTCTTGTCATTTCCAAAGCAGCAGTTAACTATGAAACAGAATGAGGAAACAGATGAGGCCTGATTGAAAAGCATAATAGTGGACACACAATTTACAACAAAATTTACAACAAGAAATTTACTTCTTACTTCTGAATTCAAACTACAAATATACTCATCAATTACCTTTAAAAATAATTTACTGTATTTACAAAGATAGAGGTTTTCACTTGAAAAATCTCTGCTTCACCAGAGATGAACAGCTCATTGTAGCTTCTTTATAGTACAGCACAATATTAATAATAGAGCATATCAAAGACAAGACTATTCAAAAGGGTTGTCAGACTTAACCTAAGCAGAAATATATGTTGCAAGCTTTTGTCCTTTAGAAGTTGGCATTTGGCACAACCCAGATCTCTGCAAAGACATGGGTTCATTCAACAGAAGAGCAAGCATAAGGGTACATTTTCAGCACCAGTTTCTCTTCTCTAGATACTGTAAAAAACTAAAAATGCTGAGAAAAGATCAGAGCAAGTTGGTACTTATGGTTTTTGTGCTGTTGAGACACATTTGGTAAGCCTGTTCTTAAAATTCTAGGTTTAATTTCTTGCTGAAATACAAAGCTCTTGAAAATGATATTTTAAAACTGATTACTTAGTATGCACCAATGCACAGGTTGACAATTTCACCTTAAGCTCTGAAAATTCTTTAACAAGCTTAATCAGCAAGCTAAACAAAAATCAAACTTAGTTTCAGCCTTTAACAGAACAGCTATTACAGAAAAAAAATACTGTACTCATCATGATCATTCAAAGTAATAATGGTCTTCTATTTCCATTGTCTCCCTCACTAAGGCCTCAAAACGCATAGCCCTTACTAACAGAATGCTGTTAGAAAATAAATGGCATTTCCATTAGTAGGCAAGCAAAGATGTGCCTTATTTCAGGAAAATACAATTTATTTCATCTATGCAGGCAGATTTGCGACATTTTATATGAGATGCAGGAAAAAAAAGGCACATCTAAAAACAAAACAGCGATCTTACATTCAGATCTTCTTGCATACTTGGGAGCCCTGTTCTATTGGAAAATACTTGTGTTCGTTAGGTTTGCTGAGAAAGACATACTTGGGAGAAACAGGGGTTAGGAGTCAAAGAGCAAGAGAAGGAAAAAAAAAATTGATTTTACCTCTGCAATTTTTGCTTCACAATCACTGGCAAGCTGAACACACACATCTTCTGCCCTTAACTGACAGGCTCTTGCTACTTCGTCTTTCCGTCTTTCTTCACTAACAGAGTGCCATGCGGCCCACGCTTTCTTCATCAAAGTTGTCTGGAAATGTCTATCTGCCATTCTAATTGCATATTCCTTAGGAAGTAAGTACAAACACATCATACAAAAGTTGAGGGTTGTTAAAAAGTGCAGTACTCTCCTGCGGACGACTGTTTTACACATTATTACAAAGACCACAGTAGGAACTCCTTAAGTGAGTTACAGGTCCTGCAGTGAGGTGTTACACAAGCAGTGCCAGCAGCTCAGCATTGCCTCTGCACTTGTGCCGTGGCACATTACCGTCCTCACCATGAGAAACTTAATAATAAAAGTTGTATTTGTGAATTCCTAGGCTACACACAACAGTGGTCTTATTCAAACCAGTTTAATGACATGCAAACAACAACCTCACATACACAGTATAAAGAGACATATGAAGCCATTTGTTGGGTATGTGGCACATTTGGATTCACTGCGGGAATCGTATAGATTGCACAAAGATTGCAGATAGTAACCGTAAAACACTTACATTTTGAATAAATTTAGACTTCAGGATTGTTCAAAAACTACTTTAAAACAACTGTACTATTCCACTCTATTTCAAAATAGTCAGCAGACAACAGTTTTTTTTTCCCATTCCAGAGAGAATTCTGACAGCAACATTCCTTTTAGAACTGATCTTTTCAAACAGTTATCTGATATTTTCAAACACATCAAAATAGAAACACCATGATTTCTTCAAACTGTAACACGAACTGCAGCAGCTCTGACTCCTTCGGGTTCAGAGGTTTAATTTTCACTGCATTTTGATTTTGTGCACATACCTCTTGTTTGGCTTTAACATGCTGAATCCGCCACTGTGTAAACGCTCTCAACAACACTGCTCTCTCCTTCTGCTTTCCTAATGCTCGGGTCAAGTTGATAATTACCTGCAAAAATATTAATTAATTCTATTTCAATATCTATGATCACTGTAAGATCAAAGAGAATGTACTTTATGTCTCTAAGTTATTTTTCACTTAAAGCACTTGCTTTTAACAGATGCTTTCTACTGAAACTTCCCCTTACTCTAATCAAGTAAGAAACAATAATCAGAGTTTAAATGAGAAGTAAAATTCCTGTGGCTTTGATACTCAGATTGTGGCACATCCACTGTGTAGTTTTAGGAGAAGATCAACTGAATTGTTATTTCTCCCCCCATTTGGTGATTTCTGAGCTACTTTCTCATAATTAAATGTTACTGTAGCATAACCTTAGAAAAACCTCTTATTTCGAAGAGAATTTTAAAAAATCAGAAACATTTGTATTAAAATGTTTCACTTGTCAGAACAGAATAAACAAGGTAATTTGTTGCTATAAACCAGAAAAATTGTATTAAAAATTGCTACTCTCTTTAGAAATTTTCATGAAATATACTATATAAGCTCATAGCAATTAAAACATTAGAGAGGCAAGATGTCATACTGCATAGAGACTGCAACTGGAGACTTTTACCAGCAATCTCTAAAATTTAATGAGTACACATAAACAGCTGAGTTTCCCCAACTGAAAAGTAAGCCAGGGATGACGCAAATTTGGTAGACCAAATCTGAATACTGCTCTCAACTTCTTAAGCCAGATTCTGCCATCAGCCATATATGAGCAACTCCAATGGTCAACAGTGACCTGTCTTGGGACTTTGGGGAACAATGCAAAGTTATTTTAACTACTACATAAGTATTTTTGAGAACAACACTTTATGACAATACATGCTACCATATGTTATCATATTGCATTTGTTACAAGTAATAATTATTGAACATACATCAATGAAATGAATGATACCTAAAATTAAAATAGAAAACAAATTAAATTGATAGATTAATTACTTTTATTGAAAAAGTATCATAAAAATCAATTTTCAATGCTGCATACATACTGCTACACACTAGAACTCTTAGCCTAAGTCTATTTTTGTTAATTAGCATATTTTTGCAAATAAAAAGCGTTTAAGATTTTCAATGTGAAATAAGAATCTAAAACTTGTAATATTTGTGAGGCTGATGGACCTTTGTCTATGTCCTTATCAGGATACCGCAGATTTCATAATTATGGAATGCTATGCAGAAGCATGGAAGCACTGCCACCTTCCATTCAGGTGATAACAATAGTAATTTTCTATTCAAATGTTGTTTTTTTTTCCCCTGAAAAATAAAACTATAAAATCAGCTTAACAAATAATTTCTTTGGCAGCAGAAAAAGAAATAGAACTTTCAAGGTATCATTGAGAATTATGGCACATTAAATATGACTGACATGGAATGATATCCAACAGAATTAGATGTTTGAAAGGTATGGGTTGAAAAAAGGTACTAGTTACATGGCACAATACAAGGACAAGGTACTAGTTATATATGGTACAAGACTAATCCAGTTATTGTAATGTTACAACACCTACATTTGCTTAGTCTGTAAGATTAGTCTGTTTTCCAAATGAACAGAGAACACTATCTTCACTCACATTTTAACTCCTGTTATGTATGTTTTTTGAAAATGTACATAGGAATTAGAAACCCAAACCCAAACAAAGTGCTCTTAAGTATTAGGTGATATGTTCAGGGTAGCAGTAAGAAAACCCAGTTATGTTGTGTGATTGCAAAACTGCCAAGATTTTATATCCACTTTCACAGTTTCAGTTAATTTTCAGGTTGCACAATTGCCAGCAGGAAAGTGTAAACCAGAGACTGCAAATGTCCAATCCTAAGAATATGTACAAATGTAGAATTCCTAAGAATCTTAAAATAGAGGCTCCTCAACATTTACAAGACTGCTGCCCACTTAAAATTGAGAAAAACCAATCTAATAATTGAAAATTTAGAGGCTTTTGAAGTGTAAGAGCTAAGAGACTCACCTAAGTCTGTGTGATCTTCATGAAATAAATGAGAAACAAGAGTAGACTCTAGATTTAAGAAGTAAACAATGCAAAATATGCACATATTATGTGTTTTCATTGTTAGTAGAGACAACTCTATTAGCAACCATGATTATTTTTCTACTATACAATGTGAATGCATTCTTTACTTCTCTATGTTACTTGCTTCAAAAAAAAAAAAATCTCGTTCAAAGAGATGGACCAAAAAAATTAGTGTAGACATTTTGGAACAGATAGACTGTTAAAATATGAAATTGAGTTACTACCTCATCTTTCCTGCTAATAGAGATTTCATAATTATGAAGTAACTCTTTCAGGTTTTCCATCTCATTCTGCAGTTGCTTCACTTGTGTGGCATGTTTCGCTTTCTCTTGTCTCATTTGAAGCTTGTGATGTTGAATCAAATTAAGTTCCCAATTTTTCAGTTCAGTCAGAATATTTGTCTGAAAAGTTAAAAGGATGACAAGAATGCAGTGAATTTAAACTATTCCCTCCTCAATTATTTTAATCTTAAAACCCTTAGCAATTAAGGAGACACAAGTATTTGCAGTGATACCTTCATTACATAGGCTGTGTACAGCTGTATTACCAGACACAATGAACTATTGAATCATGATATCTGAACATCCTTAATGGAGACAGTTATTCCAAAACATTTGAAAAAAGATATTCTGTGCTACATATGCTTATGTGCAATGTGCAACAAAACCAAAAAATACCATTCTCCCAGCAAAAACACTGCAACTTCTCCTGCACTAACTCTACAATACAATGATATCTGTGAATGATTTTTAAGGATTCCATAAAATGTAAATACCTTAAAACTTCCACTGCAGAGATCAACTATATTTTCTATTTGAGTGACTTCTCCACCTGGTGAAGTTAATTCAGTCACTGTGGTTTTGCTGACTTCTCTTGGATCATGTGTGGAAGAAATTGTTTCTGGAAGAGCAGGTTGTTCCATACCAGCCTGCTTCACTGATGTTGAGACTGAAAATGAAACAAGAGAATAAGAACCAACACTCTGGAAAAGCTGACTGGTCCACAATCAGGATGGAAGTTAGAAGACAAGCATTAGTAAAAAGGAAATAAAATATTTATGACATCAGAAACTTCCTTTTCCCAAATAAGAAAAACCAATCCAATTCTAATACATGATTCCTGGACACATATATTTAAACTGACAATCCTATTATAACATTAGTAAATTCAGAAGTAGTGCTCCCTTAAAATACAGTATCTTAATATAAGTTAATTTTAAAGAGAATGATCACAGCAAGCACTAAAAATACAGCCTAAAACTAAAATAAAAAATACTAAAAATACTAAAATTACTAAAAATAACATCTCTAAGTAAAGGCTTCTTGACAATTAACACCTCAGATCAACAATCTACAAAGTGCTGCCTTTTTTCTCAATAAGCCTGTAAACACCTGAGGTCTGTGGTGTTCCTTTACGAATTCACAAATTAGCCTATGGATATATTTCAATGTTAATATGTACCTGCATCCATTTTTCTTAAAGCCTTAATTTGTCCATCTATTTAGCATTCAAGCAATTTGAGAAAGGATGTATCTACCATGAATTTATATAATGACTTATATAATGAATCCTCACTTTCAGGAGTTGTGGCTAGGTACCACTCCAATAAAAGTTAATCCCTGCCCAAATGCTAGTTTGCATGCATTTGAGATGAGAAAAAGTTAATTTTAACTAAAATTGTGTGGTAAAATATTGCTTTGTATATGGTTATTCCTCACAGAAAATTTGTTATTTCAGTTGACAATGGAATAAAAGAAAATTAGAAAGAAGATGTATTAGCAGTTTCCTGTTAATAACAACAAACACAACAACTTCAAAAAATACTTTTTTTTATAAGCAGAGAAAATCTCCAACGTTTTAATCTTCACTTTTGAAAACAAATATTGTCTGATGAGAACTATTTTTTTTGATTCAACCTAGAAGAGATAAGCTTATCTGCCACAAAGAAGTATCTTCAGTGGACACTAGAAAAGTGTGTTTCTGATTATTTATAGCAGAGCTTGATGGTTGATAGGTCTCCTTTCCTAAGGAAATGAGAAGAGCTGTCTGGCTAATACTCTCTACCACAAAACTACTACATCAGTCTCTGAAACAAAAGGGAAATAAGGAAGAACCATGATGCAGAAGCAGTTACAACTGCTTTTTAGTATTTCTCTCAAGGTAATATACAACCACACATCATAAAATTAACACCAGCTTGAGCTAAAGGAGTGCCATCTAATACACCATTTCTATAGACTAAATGTCCTGCCCTATTACAGAAGCAAAAGACCATAAACAGATTATTCCCCATCACAGAGTAGATTAAAATCAGATTTTAGTAATTATTTCTCTTGAAAATGACAGAAGTGTTGCTAAAGTAGTGGCAGAATCTGAATACCTGTTGCTTCTAAAACTCTATATGTGACATGCCTGACAGATGATCCAGATTACGTGAAATACACCTAATTTCTGTGATGAAGAATCTGGCTGGCGTCTGACAATAAAATTATCTGGCACTCTTACCATGGCCAAAAATTCACAGTTCTGTCCTTCACCACTTTTCTCCACTCCTGCATGTCACTCCTTCCTTTAACTGTGACGTGAAATGCATAAAGCTTTGTTTTTATTTTCATACTTCTACTACTTGGTTAGATTACAAAGATATCCTACACAGCACAGTTTGCAAAATACCTTCCAAAAAAACCCAAAAAACCAAAAAAAAACCAACAAAAAAACAAACCAAAAAAAACCCAACAAAAAACCCCCACACCCAAAACCCAACAGAACAAAATGTAACCAATCAAAACAGGATATTAAAACAGACTGACAACTCAACTGCCATAATCTGAGAATCACAGTATTACTAGTTCATTGCTCCCTTCCTCTTAATTTTCCCTATGAACAGCTTATCCTAACACAGCTTTCATTTCTCTCATTTACCATAGGATGTATAATACCTTAATTGAATCCACCAAGTGTATATGTTACATGTTTATAACATCATCTTATGAAATTCATCTTGGCCTTCCAGCATTGCCATAATTTTCTAGCTGTACACACATTAATTTCTTATTTCTAATGCTCTCCTTCTGTCACGTCTATTCCTTCCATATGAATTATATGATGTCATTCAGTTACAGTGCACTAAGTTATCAAGGATACTGGAACCATTTGGATATGGTAAGTATAGAAATGCATTATATTAAATAACCTCCACATGCATTTACTGCAACAAATCTCTGATGGAGGTAATGAAATTAGCTGTTTACTCAGATGTCTGTTACTACTGTTGAGCTTTTCTCTGTTGTTCTCGTATCTGACTTTTTCTGCTTTTATTAAGTAAATAAGCTCTGACATTGTTCTCACACATGGCATGCTATTAGTGGCCCAAGCTGAGCACAGCAGTTTGTTAAAATGTTCTAAGAAGTTTAATGGATATATACTGAGGACTGGTAGGCTTGAAGAGAAGCATTTTTTTCCAGTCTTTGGGTATGAGTCATCATTGCACATCTCTGCAACAAATATTTTACTGCTCCAGTCTTAGTAATTTTCAAATTTAATCAACTAAACTGATAACAAGAACAGGAAATCAAGTTTTATGTTTCAAAGTTTAAAAACATTTGGACACTGAACTGAATTGAATAATACAGAATGTTCACTCCAAATACTTTTCTTATTTCACTGAAAGCTGTTAGGGAAGATACCATGTACACTTAAATTTTCTGCAACAAGTAGAGACTATGACTAATCCATCATAATGGTAGCATCCAGACCAAAGAATACTTCATAATCAAAACTTCATTTCAGAAGGCATTACATGGCATTAAAAACTCTGTTGGTCCCAGTACTATCACATGGAGAAGGGGAAAATACATCATAAACTTGAGAAGTTCTGCAGAACAGCAAACTTTCAGATTTTAACTCCATGCTCAGCACATTAATTCATTCTGTTTTACAGTTATAGAACACTAAAACAATAATTTATGATTTTGTTAGTTTAACACAGTAGCAGCTTTAGAGGCAAATGACAAAAAGCTTGATTTTTAGCATGAACAAGCAAGCAGTGCCAAAAGAATGGAGTTTAACAAAAAAATTAAGTGTCCTTCAGAAAAAAAACTTGATAAACAATTCCACCTGATCAGCATTAGAGGCAGAGTATTAAGCTTGAATTTAAACATTAGAGGTATAGTATGAAACTTGAACCGTTTGCTCACTGTTCATTCAAAGTCATATTATTACCATCATAAAGAAAGAAGGTATTCTGAGGGCATTAACATTGTGGCCAACCCTACTTCAATACATAATCACCACCAATCAATATTAGCGATTATATAGCAGGGTTCAAGATTTTGATCCGATCTTTTACTAAAAGTTGAAAAAATCTTTAGTACAGCTAGATTGTTTCCAGCTGTATCTCTAGGAGGTGTGACCCATCTCTCTCCCAGACTGAGAAGACATAGTGATATTTTCAATAGCAAACAGATATTTTGCTAAAGTAGCAAAGCAAAGGAAACTTATTTATAGCATGTAATTGAGACAAGCAGGATGAGTGTGTAAATATTCTTCTTGTCTCTTATGTTCTCTGGGAAGTTCAGAAGCACCTTCTTTATTGTCTTTAATAATTTTTTCTTCCATTTTGAAAAGAACAGATGAATTGTATTTTGCAGGGTGCTGCCTTTGGCAAAGACAATAAATATCTTAGTGGTTCCTTGTAAAGAGCAATACAACTCTTTTAATGAGAACTACAATGCAAAATTTTGATCACCATCAAGTATAAGACTATTTCTTTTTTCCCCTGTTTCATGAGAATTAACAAGAGCTTGCAAATGACTATTCTAATTTGGTAACACCAGGCACATTAAAAAGGTAACACTGTTCAAATATTTCAAAAGAAGCAACCAAGGGAATGGAATTTTGTTCTCTCACTTCTATGGCCATAAAAAGCATCAAAGACCTGACAGGCTATATGTTTAGCCCCATGAAGTGGTTTGACATTGGCTGGATGCCAAATTGCAGCCACCAAAGCTGCTCTTTCACTCACCTCTGCAGCTGGACAGGGAAGAGAAAATATAATGAAGGATTCATGGGTTGAGATAAGGACCACAGAGATCACTAATGAAATACCATCATGGGCTAAGCAGGCTCTAATTAGAGATATGAATTGAATTTATTACTAAAAAAATGGGAGCAGGATGAGAAGTAAAAGAAGATCTTATAAACACCTTTCCCACATCTGTCTCTCCTCAGCTCTACCTGCTCCCCCAGTGGCACACAGACACGGAATGGAGTTTATGCTCAGCTCCTCACACCTTGTTCCTGCTCATGGAGAGGAATGTTTCCCCTGCTCCAACATACGGGATCCCTCCCATGGGAGACAGTTCTCCATGAACTTCTCCAGCATGAGTCCATGTCATAGGCAGTGCTCTCTGTGAACTGCTGCAGTGTGGGTGACTCTTCCATGGGGTGCAGTCCTCCAAAGACAGGCTGCTGCAGTGTGGGTCTCCCATGGTGTCACAAGTCCTACCAGGAAAGCTGCTGCAGCATGGGCTCCTCTCTTCACAGGTCTGCAGGTCCCCGCTCTGGTGTGAGCTTCCCATGAGGTCACAGGCTCCTCTCAGACATCCACGTGCTCCAGCATGGGTCTGTCTCCTCCATGGGTTGCAGGTGGATCCCTGCATCCCCCTGACCTCCATGGCCTGCAGGGGCATCTGAGCTCCAGTGCCTGGAGCAACCCTTGTCCCTGCTTCTCCAGTGACCTTCATATGCACAGAACTGTTCCTCTCACATATTCTCACTCCATTTTTCTGTGGTCGCAATGACAACTAGGCAAAGCTTCCTTTTTCTTCTCAAATCTCTTATCACAGAGGTATTACCACCATTTCAAACTGCCTCAGCCTTAGCCAGCTGCACTCCCATCCTTTGGAGCTGCCAGGGACTTGTTATGTCATACATGGAGGAAACTTTTGGCAGCTTCTCACAGAAGCCACCCCTGTAGCACCCCCACTACTAAAGCCTGGCCATGAAAACCCAATACAGCCCAGAAAAACATTTAAAAAGTACAAGCATAACCTATCTGAAAGAGTAACAGAGATAGACTGGGTGTCTGGCTACAATTTTTTCTTTAGACAAATATGATAGAAAATAGAGTATACAATCATGTACTAAAACAGTGCAAGAGTCTAGTGCTTTAATTCTGATATTCTTTCTTACACATCACAAAAAATCCCTTACAAAACAATATTCCACTCAAACTGGGAGACAAAACTCTAAGCAGAGAGCACTGAGGACAATATCCAAATTTAAGTTTGCTCCATAGTATAGTTCCACATACCTGGGTTTGAAATTTTCTACTCTTTTAGAACACCAACTCAGGCTGAGAAACAGTTCCAGCAGCTGACATTAACTGCTCCACAAATCAAGAGCTTTGCAATTGTACTTGAATCCTGACAATCTGTGACTTATGACTGATCAGCAATGGAAGAACTTTGAAGAAGAGGAGATAACATTGAAGAAGAGGAGATAAACACTCTGCTCATGGAGCTCTGGGAAGAATACAGGGAGTGGCCACAGCTGTTTTAAAGGAAGCTGAAGTTATCTCAACACAGGAAGGGGCTCTGGGCGGCCTTTGTTTTTCATAAAACACTGCACCAGTTGAGTGGACCAACTGGTTGTGTAAGTGGCCTTAGTTAACTGAGAACTCTGAATGCATTTCTGGGCTACTCAGACAAGCATGGCTTAAGCCAGTGAAAACAGTACCAAAATGAAGCAACCAGCAAAATGACCTTTCAACATAGCCACGGACTTGAGCTGGCTTTAACCTACATGAACTGTCACAGCAACTGGGGAGAGCTTGTGCCATGATAGTTCATATACACAGAGACTGGCAGCAGGAGTCACAGCTGCACTGCACTCATTCTGCTTGTGCTGTAACTGCTTCACTAAGTCCCACTCAGATTTTGGCTCACACACGGCTCTTGCTAGGCCTGGTGTATCCTAGGAGTGGTGCCATGAGGTCAAGGCAAGGGCAGCAGGTAGGCAAAATATGATGGACAGAAGGGCTAAAGGTCATTATGCAGCTGTCTCACCTACCACTTGCTATCTTCTGCAGCCTTAATCCTTCCACACAGATTGTCTAGCAGTCTCTTTAGAATTTAAAAACTTAAATACTATCGACCAAACTTTCAAGTTGGAGGGTATAAATATGTCACTTGTTCCTCAAAACAGTAGACATAAAGCCATCCACAAAGGTTATAAAAGTGAACACAGAAAGATAGCGAAATATTTTTTTAATTAAATAGAATGATAAAAAATAGAAGTTAGTTTAAAGTTAGTTTTTCCTGATTCTGCTTAGCTTCCCAGAAAATAAATAATGCAGGTCTATGTGTTTACTATTTCTTCGGAACCAAAATTAACAGCAAAGTTCTCAATCTAGACACTAGTGACAGAAGCAAACAAAACAATCAAAAATATCCTTGTTACTAATGCATCACAAGACACTAAGTTTAGTGTCTTGTGATGCATTAGTAACACGGATAAATAAAATACCAAACAAAAAAATAAAATCAGAATAACAGGATTGAACTTAAAAAGTAAGAATGACATTCATGTAGTGACATGATTAGTCATTACACAAAGCCCTTTTAAGGTAATTCTCCCTTCCACTGAATCATTGTTTCTATATGCATTTCTCTATCACAGCCCTACCAGCTGGAGCAAAACCAGCTGTGACCCTTTAAATTCAATGAAGCATACTGTAAGTAAGGGTATCCCCTTTTTCTGTTATTACATCAACCATCTTGAAACATCTGCATCACAAAACACAATGAACTGTCAGCACATCAACACTGTCATCTGAAAGTGATGAACCCTTCAGGGTATCTTCCTACACCTCTTGTGCAAAATGCAAATGTACTACAAATGAGGTACATGTATTTTTCAAACTAAAGCTATTAAAAAATATAAGTCATCAAAGTTGTATCATGGTTCTTGTAAGCTCAACACATAGCCTCGGGCATACTACCTGGATTACTACGATGACTGGATTCGTCTGTTAACCTGGAAACTCTGTCAGGTGGTCTCTGTTCTGAGGCAGGGTCTGGCAACTTTGAGACACACTGTTCAAACTTCGGAGCCGTTACAGTAAAATGAAACAGCTCTTTATATTCATCCTGTTGCAAAGTGGTGACAAAGAATTATAAACTACAATTACATTTATAAAAATTAGGCATATGTAAAAAGAAATGCAAATTATTTTCTATAATTTTGAGAGGTTTATTTTTATTATTAGAGTATTTCCCCTAAAGTTGCAAAAGTGAGTTGTTTTCCTACAATGACTATAATAATTTAACTTTCTCTTGTTTAATATCCATATTCCTTCTGGTTACAACTACATGTATGCACTGTAATAGTCACACAGAAAGACTCTGCAAGATTCAGCATTGGATACTATAATAGGCATCTAAAACAAGAGCTGGAAAAAATTTGCAGTCCCAGATCATGTAAGTTATTAATCAGCCCTTATTCTTTTTAATCACTACTAGTAGTACTTCAAAGAAAAACATGTATTTTTATAGCCATGACAAAGATGCTACTGAACACAGTCACACTTCACACTGTAACATTACAATTTCTTTGGTGGAAGTTGTAAAGCCAATCATCAAAAGAGATTTGATTATACACAATTTTGTTTAGAGTGGATATAATTATCCTCACCTTATATTATTTATTTTTAAAATTCTACAAGTATACAGAATGTGTATATATAACTTAGAAAGAAGCTTTCCTATTAAGAAGCTATAAACCTATCTAACTAGTATCACACCAAAGTAAGCCAATTAATATTTTTCGAAACCTCCTAACCTCCTTTGACACCTCCTTTTTGAAACAGATTTTCAAGATGAGGGCATTTAGTGTTCATTATGAAACCATAAACAATCTGTATTATAGCTTAAACATACAATCTAGTAATTAAACAAGTACCAGTTACTTACTAAAACAAATAAAATCTACTAATTAAAGACTGGGAAAACAAAGCCCATTGGAAAATACAAAACCAGGTCATTAGCAGTTATTTTTTCTTCACTTAGTACTACCATATTAGTTCTGTTCAGTATCCTAATGAAGTCAAACCTCAGAAGCCAAGTGTGAATTCAAAAATTAATTTCCTCTTAAACCTGGGGGAAGTTAGGGTGAAAACAATCAATGAAAGGTACCAATTACATGCAATATGTTTTTGTATCTAACAACTGAAAACTCTCAGTGTAACTAGTATATTTGTGTGCTTCAACTAATTAGAGAATTTAAGAAGCTAAATATGGTACATTTAATCTGAATTCTAGTTTCCATTTAAATGTCTATCTCCCATCTTCTAATCTATCATGTTCAAAGTAAAAGCCTAAATAAATGTATATGAAGCTATGGAATTAGAAATACGTGATCTATCTTTTGGACATGCAAGTGTGTCATAGTCCTTGTAAAAGGTATAGTTAGCTGCAAATCAACAAGTTATCATTTTTTTCCACAGCCATATCTTTCTAAATGTATATAGTTTAAATTTTATAAGATATCAAAGGAAGAAAACAGATCTCTTTAGATCTGTTACTCAATCAGGAACTACATGGAACCACACAAAACTCCCTGCAGCAAAATCTCAGCTCAGTAAAAAAGCCAATATTAGCCTTAACTAATAAAAATTAAATGATTCTGCAGAAGATGTTAGATTACATCTCTATCTTCTTCTAAGAGATCATGTAACCAAATAGCAACTTAAATTCTTCCCAACAAAAAAGTTAGCTCTCAGACAAAGCTGATCCAGCTGCCTCCATGATAATCTTAGCCAATTCAAAGGACCTAGCAGGTTAAATGTCAGATGCAAGTGGGTGTCTCATGTTGAGTCACCCAATTTATTCATTATCACACAATCTGTCCTACTATAGAAATGCCTAGCATTAAAAATTCGCGTATCAAGCTACGTCAGGAAATTTCTTTCAAGTTCTAACTCTTTTATTAAAGCTCAGAGAATAATCCAATCTGTACAGGAATATGAATGTTTACGTGCCAACAAAGCATCAATAGACAGCATCCAGTGACAAATCTGGAAATAAATTATTATAAATTACAATATTATAACACTGTTGAAATGAAGTTTAAAGGCAAATATTAAAGAAAGCACAGTATCCCCGTTGTAATCAGAAACTTAAGACAAAAAAAAAAAAAATCCTGGAGACAGCAGTGGGAATATGTATGGAAACACTGAGTAATTAAATGTATTACCTCTATCTTAAATACTCTATAACAAGTATGCTGCAACTGGAATTCAATATTGACAAGTATATTTAAAATAAAACCATAACATAATTAACAATATATCTTTGGTTTATTATTGTAGTTCCACTTTAAACAGATACTGCAAAGGATTGTAGTCAAGGTTACAAGACAATATGACAAGAACAGATCGAATGGATAAAGTCTTGCATAACAATTATAAGTAATGGAAATTCTCTAAAAGCCAGTGGATCTCTTTGTAAGGAAAAAGTAATAACCTGGTCTCTATCTAAAAGCAACACATCAAAAAGGCCCAAAAGAACAAAACAGAACAGACCTTCCAAAATTATCTAAATGGAGTAGAGTACTTACCTGTCAACATGCATATTGATTAGCTGTGACCTCAGTGCTGTTCTTTTTCAACAGTAACAAACTCCTACCAGGGGTAGCTTTGGGCTTGTCTAGTTTGGAGAAAAGGAGACTGAGGGGCCCCATTGCTCTGCACAGGTTCCTGAGCAGGCGAAGTGAGAAGAGATGTCCATCTCGTCTCCCTGGGACCCAGTGATAGAATGAGTGGGAATGGTTCAAAATTGTGTAGAGGAGGCTAGATTTCACATTAGGAAGCATTTCTTCACTGAGAGGGCAATCAAACACTTGAATGGGCTTCCCTCCCCAGGGAGACTGATGTCACAAGCCTGTCACTGTTTAAGAGGCATTTGAACAATGCCCTCTAATAACATGGTTTAACTTTTGCTCAGTCACAAAATGGTCAGGCGGTTTGGCCAACGATTGATATAGATCACTTCCAACTAGAACTATTCTTCTCTAGACACATTCTCATTCACAAAACAGTCACTCATTAATATAAGTTTATCATTCTCTACAAGGTGGCCCTAGAGCCTCTGTCAATCCACCAGGTCATAACAGAAAATTCTGGTCCTTCAAAATTTGTAGCATGATGCTTCTATTTTGTTCGCTGACTACAAAAAAGCATTGGAAACACAGATGCATTACTATTCCTAAACAAAGATTATGAAAACTTATCCATGAGATAAAAGCACAAATAGAGAAGTATATGAACTGCAGAAATGAATTGCCCCTAAAAATCTTGTTTAAAAGGTACAAGTCAATCCAAACAGTAAAAAAAGGAAGAAGAAAATCCCTTAATTAAACAGCGCTGCTGCTGTACATGCCCATTTCACCATGTCACAAATGTGGAAATGCACTGCCACAGGGCAAGGTAAATAACAATGCAAAACGTGTTATTGCCAAAATTGTCCTGGTTTGGACTGTATCCTACCAAAGGAAAAAAACACACAATCTACTATGCAAATAGGAATAACCAGTTATTAAATTATGGAAACCTGTTGCTTTCAAAAGAATGGTACAAATGATACTTTATCCAGTATCATTGCATCCTCTTGAAAGCATGATGAGCACAGAAAAGGCAACCCCCAGTATTACAGTTGCAGAATGTCCTAATGTATTTGATGCAGAAAGTTAAAAAAAAACCCAAAAAACAAACAAAAAAAAACCAAAACAAAAACCAATAATTTCCTTCCTGTAATTAACTTGGCCATAATACTACTCCAATGGAAATAAATCCATAAAAAAATTTCAGTTTTTACAAAACTGAATCATGGGGAAAGCCTAAATTGTAGTTACTCTTCATCTCTCAAAAGTCATGGGTTTCTATCCTACTGTGTCAAATTCTGGCTTCTTGATAGGACTTAACACAAATAAAGAATAACATTAGGGGAAAAAAAGGTAAGAAAACTACCTATTTTACTTGCAGCTGATCAAACTCTAAAGTTTAGGTAAAAATTTTTACATAAATTTCTTGTGAAATGCAAAAAATTGTACATATTTTAGTATCAGTATTTTTTGCAGTCTACTTTGTTTCATTTCACTAATATTTTTATTATTTTCCTGTATATGTAAAATATAAAAAGATGCACATTTAGTTAGATTTCCTCATAGTTATCCTTCACCAAATAAAATGCCATGACAGTAAATCAAATTATATTGCCTCCGTCCCACCTGAGAATCTGAAGAAACAGAACTGTCCTGAACACAGTCATCTGGGAAAACTGGAGTTGTGCTTTTCTTCTCATCAGATGACATTCTGCACAAAGTATGTCTATAAAACAGTAGAAGAGAACTTCATTTTTCAGTTTCAGTACGTAAGCATATATTCACCAACATTTTCCCCAGAAACAGATTCTGCTGTAACAACTGGATCAATGCCCATTCTGTGCACTAAACTGATTGAATAGTCCAATAATGCTGGAAACTCTCTGATTCAAACCATACTCAAAATAATGGAAATATTTTCACTAACTTATAAGAGAAGAAGGAAAGACTCCAAAGCAACAAGATCAGTTGTTGCAGTTACAGATACAGATATACCTCCTGTGTCAATCTCTGTTTTTATTCATACCGTATTGCCTTTTAGTGTATCAGGCTGCTTCCGTACAAAATTCCTACAGAGCAACATAAGAATGCATAAAGCTACACTGTGCCCACCCACTACATGACCTCAACCACAGCCCAAGGTAGGATAGTACCCTGAACACTCCTGTTCAATACCCTGAATCTTACTGGTCAACATCAGTGTCCCATCACTGTTTTGAGTTTCAGGCCCAGGAAGATGAACAGATATGGAAGGACAAGTTCAATAAATGTCAGTAATTCCAGCAATATCATAGCAATACACTGAGGCATTCTTTGAATACTTGGGAAGTAGGCAATGTTGAAGAACTGAAAAGAAGCTTGAAGACCTTGTGTAAGATATAGGTATCTCTTAATCAACTACAGCCTTGTATAGGTCCTTCAGTGAAAAACTGAAGCTCTTGTGATAAGATTTGACAGAATAAAGGGAAAAGGACTCTAAAGGATATGGCAGGGGAGGGAAAGATGAAAGGAATTACAAAATGAGGGGAAACAGTGTAAAGCAAGGTGAGTTTGTTAATGAATGAATGGCGATATAGGTACCTGATGCACATGAAAGACAATTAGACACATTGACTAAGGAGCTGTCAGGAAAGAAGGCATACCACCATAAATAACCAGAGGAACTGACTGACTGTACAATGTAGCAAACAACTTGCAAGGAAAATTTATTTTTAGAGAGATCTTTACAACTGTCAATTATAATATTCTTATTTTTTAAACAGATGCATTTTCTGACAGAAATGTAAATTTTAAGTTGCTAGTTGTACTGTCATAAAACTGGCAGGAATATCCTACTTAAACACCATCAATGTTTCTCAAAGTATCAAACCCCCCACATAGTTCTCTATATAGGAATACAGATAGAAATTAACTAACCTTTTGTTCGAGCTGTTCTATACACTGATTCTTCCTGCAGCATAAAAGGTCTCTCTGCCACGGATATTTTTACACCTTTCAGAACAGCAAACTCATTTCTGTGCTGATGATGGATGTTTAAAAAAATGGTATAAAGACAATTTCAAATGCTGAGTTTTTCTGTAGCTCAAGGTTCAAAAGACATGATTACCATCCTGCTGAGCCCTCATATACCAACCACATATTTTAAGTACAAAAAATGGAGTCTAATGATGGTTTACTTTGTACTTTTTATTCCTGTATATCTATGTGTTGATGACAGAAGAAATACTACCTTAATCAGCTCAGCCTTTCTCATTGCCTCCTGGTCTGATAATTTTCTTCTTTCCTGTCTCACATGAATTATTCCTTGTAGATTTCTCCTAGTAGAGGCTTGGTTTTAGCCTCTCTACATAACAAAGTAGGTCTGTACTAACACTGTACCTTCTTTTAGCTGATGAAGTCTTTCAATACCAAAAAATACTTCAGCAATCTTAAAAAGTCAACTTCATATGCTTTCCTACATAGTTTCTCAAATTGTGGATCCTGACTACTCTAAAAACCCTGGATCTATTCAAAGATGTGTGTGTACATTAGTGAAGATCACAAAGAACTATCTAGCACTTTTAGGAATTACATGTGTATTTGCAGACAGAAGTTTGAAATATTGCCAGACCTTCCCTTCTCAGTACACTTCAAAAGAACTAAACAATTGGTTTTTCTGAGAAACAGGATAGCAAATGGAATTCAATGTGAACACAGGTAAGTCCAAGGAAGTTGAAAAGAAAGGTTTTTACTGAAGTTTGTTCAATAACTTAAGACCACTGTCCAGAATTCTGTTTTCAGCTCTCTAAGATCATGACCCTTACACGCAATCAAGTGGATCTAGATCTCTGCTTGTCACTGAAACTACTCTCTGGTCTTCCAAAACTCAAAAGGTTCCTTCATCACAAGTGACAAAGCAAAGTGATCCGTCACTCATACTGCTTCCCCTAAAGGCCCTTCACCATCTTCATTGCCCTCCTTTGGATGCTCTTAAATAGAAGAATGTCTCTCTTTTACTGGCACCCAGAACTGTGCCCAGCGCTGGAGGTGAGGCTGCCCCAGAGCAGAGCAGGACAATTCCCTCCCTCGCCCAGCTGGCCATGCTGTCCCTGATTCCCCATAGGACATGGGTGGCCCTCCTGGCTGCCAGGGCACTGCTGACCTTGTTCAACTTGCAATTGACAAGGATTCACCAGACCACTTCAGTGGGGCTGTTTTCCAGCTTCTCATTTTCCAGTTTTTTGTTACATGCAGGGTTGCTCTGTCCCAGGTGGCTTTTCTGCCCTTGCAGGAATCAACAGCCCTACTTAATTTATTATTGTCAACAAACTTACTTTAATGCCTGCATCCAAGTCAATTAAGAAGATACTGAAAAGCACCAAGCCTAAGATGAAGCCCTGTGGACGCCCCTAGGGACAGGTCCCCAGTTTGATGTCACCCTATTCATTGTAACCCTCTGTGCCCACACCATGAGCCACTTACTCACGCATTACATAATGTGCTTATCCAGCTGTGTGCTGGACATTTTCTCCAGAAGGATACTGGGAGAGAAAGTACCAAAAGCTTTACTGAAATCTAAAAAGATCACATCAGCTGGTTTCTCTTGATCAATTAGGTGCATCACCTTCTCATAAAAGGGAATGAAGTTTCTCAGGCAGGATCTTCTCCTCATGAACCCATGCTGGCTGTGATCGATAACTGCATCAATGTTGCAGACAGAAGCAGAGAACTCATCTCTGCCTTGTCTATGTCCCCATTTGTGAGGTGATCATCCTCATCATGTAACAGGCTCACGTTATTTCTGGACTGCGTTTTATTATCAACGTATTTTTAAAAACACTTTTTCTGTCCCCACAGTACTGGCCAGCTTCAAGTCTAACTGAGCTCTGGCCACATTAATTTCTTGTCTATTATGAAAAGCTGAAGCTCTGTATTTCTCCCATGTAATCTGACTTTCCTTCCACTGGTCATATGCTTTCTTTTTTTGCCTTACCTTCAAAAGAAGATCCCTGCTCAGCCAAGCCAGCCTAAGAATAACTTGTCGGCTTTGATCTCAGTGAATAAGCACTAAGTACCACAAAATACCGGATAAGTTCCTAAAGGAGAAATCAAGGGATATTAAGAAACCACCACCGGGTCAACAAGCTAATTTGCTAAGCTGCAAATCATCATATAGTGAAAGACAAGTGAGAAGAACATCCTCAAGCCTAACAGGTTCTTCTAAACTTACCCGAGCATCTGCCAAAATATATTTCTGACTTCATTAAAGAAAGATTCCTGCTAACAGAAGCAGTTTCTTCCCAACTATAAGCATACAACTGCAGTAATAACACTGCTACTTTTAAAAAACAGGATGCAGCTATAAAGACCTTGGTCTGACTTGACATCATTGTTCTCCTCCTTAATTTTGAATTAAGCTGTGCTCAGGTTTTTGTGGGTTTGGCTTTGTTTTTAACTAAAGGTGATGCTTTCCAAATAATTTAGTGTTTCATTCGGATCAGAGGACTCAACACCTAGGAAAGAGAATCACGTAGTGGGTAAGGTCGGGACAGACCACATTGGGTCATCTTGTCCAACCCTCCTGCTCGAGCAAGGTCATCCTAGAGCACATGGTACAAGATTGTATCCAGGTGGTTACTGAATATATCCAATCTCTAAGCAATCTGTTCTGGTGCACGGTCACCTGCACAATATAGAAAGAAGTTCTCCATCATGTTTGGTGGAACTTTCTGGGCATCAGTTTCTGCCCACTACCTCTCATCCTACTCTTTGGCACCACTAGGAAGAGCCTGGCTCCATTGCCTTAGCACCCTCCCTTCAGATAATCATAGACATTGATGAGGTGTCCTCTCAAGTTGTCTCTTCTTAAGGCTGAACAAGCCCAGCTTCCTCTGCCTTTCCTCCTAAGATGTTCCAGTTCCATCAATATCTTTGTAGCCTCTGCTCCTCTGTTCCAGGAGCTCCATGTTTCTCTTGTCCTGAGGAGCCCAGAACTGGACACATCACTCCAGGTATGGCCTGAGCAGGGCAGGATCACCTTCCATGACCAGCTGGCAATGCTCTTCCTAATGCCCCCCAGGACAGCACTGACCTTCTTGGCCACCAGGACACGCTGCTGGCCCATGGACAGCTTGCTGTCCACCAGGACGCCCAGGTCCTTCTCTGCAGAGCTGCTCCCCAGCAGGTCAGCCCCAGGTGCCTGAGGCTGTTCTCCCCAGGTGCAGGACCCTGCATTTGCCTTTCTTGACTTTCAGATGGTTTTCTCTGCCCATCTCTCCAACCTGGCGAGGTCCTTCTGAAAGGGCTGCACAGCACTCCAGAGTGTAGGCCATTCCTCCCAGCTTTGTGTTCTCAGTGAATTTGCTGAGCAGGCATCTGCCCCTTCACCCATGTAATGGATGAACAAGTTAAAAAGTTCTGGGCCCAGTACTGAGCCTCGGGGGACGCTGCCAGTGATAGAAGTGCATCTCCTGCCAGCAGATGCAGAACATATTCCTTGCCTTTAGCTGTACCCCTCGCAAAGCAGCACTGCCCACGGTGTAACCTCTCGCTACAGCAGCTCCGCAGGGCCCACACCGCCGGGACCGCGGCTGCCATGGCAGCCGGGACAAACACCGACAGTCTGCCAAATGTCCCACAGAAACCGAGGAGGCACCGGGGTGGGCAGGCGAGATTCTCCTTTGCTTTTCTTATGCAGGGCTTTTAAGACAACCAGCCCAACCAGAGGGCAGGGAATGCCCACCTCAGGAAACTCACCTCAGGAAACTCGGGGTGGGGTTGCGGGCGGCAGTGCGGGCAGGGGCAGGGATGCTGTGGTAAGGACGCGGCTCCGGGGCAGGGATGCTGTGGGAGGACGGGACCCCGGGGCAGGGATGCTGTGGGAGGACGGGACCCCGGGGCAGGGATGCTGTGGGAGGACGGGACCCCGGGGCAGGGGCAGGGATGCTGTGGTAAGGACGGGACCCCGGGGCAGGGATGCTGTGGGAGGACGGGACCCCGGGGCAGGGATGCTGTGGGAGGACGGGACCCCGGGGCAGGGATGCTGTGGGAGGACGGGACCCCGGGGCAGGGATGCTGTGGGAGGACGGGACCCCGGCCCCCTCCGCTCACCTGCGGCGCAGCCCCCGCCGGCCCGGCCGTTTCAAACGGCCGTCACGGAAGAGGAACCGCCTCCGCCATTGGCTCACGGCTCCTTTGCAAGGCACCCTCCGATTGGGCAGCTTGGCGACAAATAACCAATCGAGTCGCCAGGCCGGGGCGCTCAAACCGCTAGCCCCGCCCCGCCGGCGGGCGGCTCCTCCCGCACGCTGATTGGTGGGGCTGGCGCGGGGAGGGCGGGGACGTGAGGGAGCGTGAGGGGACGTGAGGGGCGGGCTCGTCCCGTCTTTGTTCCCGTCCCCGTCCCCGTCCTGGTCCCGCGCTGTGACGTGCCGGGCTCGGGTCTCGCAGTTTTCCCGCATTCCCAGTCCGCGCTGGCCGCCAGAGCCGTGCGCGGTGGTTCTGGCTGTGCCGGGGAGGCACCGTGCCAGATTAAAAGCTTTGTTGGGGGGCCTGGGTGTCTCCGTGTTGGAGAGCGGCTGCCCACGGGCATTCCTGTGGAGAACGAAGATTTAAAAAAGAAAAAAGAAAGGAAACGAGGAGAGCGAATTCCTTGGTGGAGCTCCTTCATTCTAAAGCGCTTCCATCTACGCTTCCATTTATTCCATAAACCGTCACCAAGCAGGGGTTTTAAATAATTTGTACAGCAATGCTGCAGAAGGAGGTCTCAGCTTGTAGTTTCCAGCATTCCTCTCCAGGACAGCTTTCCCTAAAACTCTGGGTAGGCAGACAGGCGGGATGGATTCCAGCGCTAAATCTGGCCAGCCGAGCGGCAGGGCTGTGTGTCACATACCCCACCTGAGGCAAATAACTCTCCTTGCTGCCATCTCAGGGCTATAATAGAAAGAAATACAACAGTGGGTTTTTAAGATTTTAAAGGAGTAGAGAGTCCTTCCATTTTCCAGCCTTCTTTTAACTTGATAACGTTGTAACTGATCTTTCTGTAATACAAGCTGCAACATTGAAAATCATGCAATTGTATTTCAAAATTTATTTACAGCACTGAACTCTGGCTACAGCATGGCACTGGGCATGCTAGTGCCACAAACCTTCTGGTCAAGCTCTATAATATGAGATCTTACCTTATATAGCACCAACATTTTGTCTGATAATATGATAAAGATAGGTTGGACATAAAATATGCAGATAGGCACAGAACTATAACTCATTATTTGCCCTTTATAAATATTCACAGCAGTACGTGGACCTCATTCCAGAATCTCTTGCCCTTGTGAAACAGTTGAGCAAGTAAAGACCACCAAAAAATTTCACCTATCTTAGGGGCATTTAAGGTCTCCTACAGTGAGCCTTTTCACACAGTAGAAGCCTACTTCAACATGTGTTGAAGTTCTCATTTAGACAAAGTGGCAATGGAGGGTTGTTTTTAACTGCAGTATCTGATAAGATCAGCATGATTTGATGAGCAAAAATTCCAGCCTGAGGAGCCACTCACTGTGCAGTCATTGTGTTTCATTAAGGCCTACAATGACATTGGTTCATGTGAGTTTCCAGAAAAGCATAATGGAAGGGCTGCATTTGCAGATGGATTTTAGTAAGCATGAAGGAGTGTGTGCTTTCAGAAATACATATATTTTTTAAATCAATTTGGTTGCAAATATCTATGATAGGATTGTCAGTTCCAGTTAAGGTTGAATTTGGGGTAAAAAGGAACTGCATTTCGTAAGGATTGCAGGAGCACTATCTTCAGACCTTAACTCATTCCCTTTTTGAGTGCTGAAATGAACCTGTCATTCAATTGTAATCACATATTGGTGACCAATGTCCAAACCAAAGCAAAGCATACCTTATTTTCCCTTGCCACAACTGGCTTTCCCAAAAGCTGAGGGAGGATATTGCAATAAACCAATAAAATAAAGTATTTCTGGACAAAGTGGAGAAGAATTGTTACTGTACCCTAAAAGCAAGGAATTTGTAGGATTGGATCATCCCTGAACTCTAAAATAAGCCTCATGAGACAAAATACTGTTTGTGACTGGACTGAATTGGCCTTCATAGCAAAGTGCAGGAGGCACAGTGGCATTTGTAGCCATGAACTATGGCAAGATGTTTGGTCACAGAATCTCCTCTATGCATATCTGGTGTTTTTAAGAGGTGGCACTCAGCTAAGAGTGAGAGAGATTATATTCCAAAGACTGACTTAAATCACAGAATCCAGACAAGGCCTTCTGAGCCTTCTAACTACTAAAGCAGCCTTCAAATCGACCTTTTATTTTTTGGGGTGGGTTTCATGTAAGGTCATAAGAAAGTAGAACTGGTGCATGCTGGTGAAAAAGAGCATGTTACCTGTTTCAGACCAAATAATTTAAGTTTATAAAAAGGGAGAGATGACATATGTTTCTATCATGTTTTTTCATGCTAATTTGTTTTTGTATGATGAATCTTTCTTCATAACATAGCTTTTAAATACATTACTACCATTGGCACATAAAAGATAGCCTTTAAATATGTGTTTAGCTTTCAGTCTTACATCTTCAGAAAAATGCAGACATTTGAATATTGAAGGAGTTTGCAATGGGTACTCAAACCAGTCTTTGTGATGCAAACCTCTACTGCTACTTTGTAATTAGATGGATAGAAAACAAAGGATATCAAATGGTCTCAAGCTGGTTACTAGTATAAAGGGATCTGATGAAACCTTCTGTTGAAACTTTCTGACTTTGATTTGTATTTAAAAAATATCTTCCATCTTTCATGTTGGATTCTATTGTACAATAGAATGTACAATTATTTTCACAGGAGGAAGGAGATTTTTCTAAGGTTGTATGACCACATATGTTTATCTGCTGCTCTACCCAAGCAAATGCTGCAGCAGTGATTGAAGTCTGGTTGTCTGTGCAGACTAAGAATTACTTTTGAGGCAGGTGCTGTCCTGAGCTTTAGAAGGAAACAGGTAGAAGGGAGGCAGGACGTTGAACTGATTCAATGGCATTAACACATCTAATGTCAAAAAGTCACCTTTTCTTTCCTTGGAACAGTTTTTGAGGAATTCAAAGTTAAAAATAAAAGCATCCAGTTTATATGAAACAATAATGAATTTTTCGTTTTTTTCTGTAGTTTTATAGGTTGCTGAAACACATTTCCAGTGTTTTCTATTTCCCCCCTGTATGTATCACAATTATGTGATTAAAGGCCAGATATTTTGTTGTAACTTAACAGGGTATACTGGAGTGGTTATTGTTTAACTCTACCAGATTATCTATTTAAGTGTTTGCTGTGTGAACACAAGATCTGTCTCCTCTCATTCGGAGTGCTAATTGCAGCCCTGGCTTCTAGGTATGTTTGTGCCTTGTACAGTGTGGTCTCACCATCTCTCTTGTGCTCTATGGCTCCAGGTGTCTCAAAGAGAGCTCTTGAGTGTCTGGAGGCAGAGAGCCAGGCAGAAGGCACTAAGTTTTGGGGCTTTACTTTCAAAGGACATCATGGCTACTGCCTTGTGCAGTGGTACCGTTGCAATTGGGTGGTCCAGGACCATTCCCTTCCTACCACATGAACTGAAATATTAAATATATGGTTGACAGATCACTCATTTCAAGCATCACAATGCATTTTTTGTTCTGACTACATTAAGAAACATTTTTCAAAATACTGCTATTTCATACAGAATTGAAATCCTTATTTTATGCAAAAAATAATGTGTAATCATAGCGAATATGGGCAATACAGCAGTGCTGTTCCAGATATTTTGGAAATTACTGACATTTTTTTCTTGTGATAATGCTGATTGCAGAAAGAAACTTACCTTGTGAATATTGAACACCTCAGTGTTAAAGGGCTTTATCTTCTATCTATTATCCCCCTCTTCCCTTGTAAAAATAGTCTTCTGAATATGTTGTCTCTTATATAATGGTTAGTGCATTTAGCAAGTATATATTGTTTTTCAGAAAAATATCCAAGGGAATTGTCATCAGTATTTAGAGATTGAAAATATTCTTGAGTCTAGTATTTGCTGTTATATGAAAATATATTCTTATTTTTATTTTTTTACAGGTGTATCAACTTATGTCTTGACAGACACAAGACGGTGTTGAAGAACCTATAAATATGAAAGGCCCAGTGAGCATGTTCATATATATTAAAAAATTTCTCCCAGGGAATTTGAGTGTTTTTTACTCAAGTAAGTGTTTTGACATCAGTCAGTCATCAGTCTTTTCCCCATCAGTGACAACCTGTCATGACAGAATTTATGAAGAGATTTTTTATGAATAGCAAAGATGGGTTTTATGCTATAATTACTTATTGACTTCTGTTAGATAAAGATTTTCAGTTAAAAACTGAAAAAAATGCTTCTCATACAGTATCTTAGGTAACTATCCATTCACCTGCTTTTCAAGCTTCTCTCTTTTCCAGTGTGATATCAAAACAGATCTGTCAATAGTTTTGCCAAAAAGCACTGGGAATATTTTTGTGGTTTTTTTTTTTTTTTTTTTCTTTTAAACTGTAGAAAACAGGTGAAATGTCTTCTCATAAGATATTACAAGATTAACATCCCTAGAGATATTTCAGTGATAGGGTGCACATGTACAACATATTAGTGATGACATATTCAGCTGCAGGGGCAATAGAACACCACAGTGCTCTAGAGTATTGAATGACTGTAAAAGGCAAAAGCATCAGCTTTCTTGCAAGACTAGCATTAGAACTTCCCACTGAAATATGCTGTTAAAAATCATATATGAAGAATGAATGCTGGACTTGTAATTGTTCCTTGCAGCAGGATACAAGATTTTACAGAAAGGTAGAAATGTATTTCTTGTAGGAGTTGACAGCAATTAAAATGTTCTTGTTGAAAATAAGTAATAGCTTTTTCCAAGCTTGATTGTATTAATGATCTGTTCCTAAAGAAAATGCAATCTTTATATATATAACAATTGTGATGTTTATTGCTATCTTTAAGAATCTGCACACTATTCCTGCTTTTACCACTTTTAAGAGGTTCAAAGGAATACTAGGCAGATTTTTTGGATGATGTTTCTATCGTAAAACACAGACACTTTTGGCAAATGAAGTGCAGGAAAAGTTTGAAACGGTTAATGTGCAGCAGACAGTCAGCCTTCCTCCAAGAGCTGCCATTTACTTGAGAGATTGTATAGCAGTCAAAATGTTTTAGCATCTCTTCAGCTTCTTATGGCAGGATCAACACGTTGACTGTTGACAGGTGTAAACATGTATATTTGCCTTCTGGCTTGAATGCTTTCAGCTCCTTTGCCTGCAGCGATCACTTCCTCTCTCCCCATTCTCCGGCAAGGTCTGCAGTCCCTGTGCCTGCAAGCTCCGCTTCACCGCGGGCTGAAGGACACTCCTCAGAGCAGATTTCTCCCCGAGACGTGAGTCAGCAGGCAAGGTACTGACGGCATTGCCGGCATGGGCCACGCAGAGATGTGCCTCTGCAGTGACGCAGCCTTTGCTCACGCAGGAGTCACCAAGGATTTTTACATCACCTCTACACCAGGTGGCAACATATCATGCTGCTCTGCTCGTGATCTGGTTTTAAAGACAAAAACGCTTATAATAGGCAGCATTCTGCAGAATTCAGTCATTACAGATCAGATCTGCTACTCCTTCCTTTTTATTTTTTTAAAATAAAGTGTTGTTATTACATGTCTTATTATATTAATGTTGACAAAGACTGGTTAAATGCCATTAACTATAAGGAAGATTTCAATGAGATAGTCTAAATGGTATAAGAGTATGCATGAAAGGTACCTTTTCTTTTAAGTTTTAGAGAGTGCTCTTGGCATTCATTTTAAGATGCAAAATGCTCTGTGTTACAATAGCTTTTTCTTTCAAATTTTCTGGAACCTAATTACTAAAAAATTCCCTCCACTAATAAAGAAAGATTCATAGTACTTGAAGGACTAGCACCTTCAATTTTGACTGTAATAAAAACTTAGGTTACTATTAAAAGACCTTTCAAACTGATGTTCCAATGTCTGTGACATTCAGGCTGAAATGTTTTGTGTGGTATTCATACTACCAACTTAAGGCCTTTTTTTTGTAGACATCTTCTGGGCTATTCATTGTGGATTCCCCTTATAGTTGCTTAACTATAAAGATGCTTAAGGGACATCAGAGGCAGTCTCATCTGGAAAGTCTTCTAGTCTTTTGTACTCCTAGCAGAGAAATAAGTGCCTGCAGGGTTCAGTTGATCTCATACATTTCTAAAAGGTCAGATGAATCATACCACAAAAGTGCTTATTACTCTGTTGTGACTATAGTCTAGAAAAGTAGTTCAGATATCTACAATTTAGACATTTGCATTTGCTCAGATGATTCCAGTCTTTTGAATGTAATTGTACTTCAAATGGAACTACAGGTTCTCAAAGGATTTGATTATTAAGCCACAATTTTTTTTTTTTTTTTTCAATTTGGCACCCAGACTCTACAAGCCTGGCTTGGACATTGATCTGAGTCATTCTATCTATTTTTTGCAGTAAAGAGACACAACTCCCACTGCATCAGGTGAGAGATAAGTCTGGTGGTACCTGTTCCATTTCAATTCACTGTATTAATATTATAAAAACATAGTAAAAACAATATAAAGGAAGAGATTTTTTTAAAGGCTTAAATGTCTCATTCTTTAAGATTTGTAAAACAAATATAAATAGCAAAACATAGGTGTCTTTAAATAAAAGTTTGTGAAGTATTTAACATGCAGATAAGTAAACTGACAAATGAAACTTTTATGTAAGGTAGTATTATGAAAGAGAACAGGAAGATAGAGTGTATATGAGGAATGATACAAACAAAACCAAATCCTTGAGTGTGAACTAAAATTAAAGCAATAAAAGTGCTTATGGAAATTTTTGCCGCCTTAAATGAAAGAAGAAGGAGAGGAAGGGATACGAAGGTACATGTGTGTGTAGATAAGTGACAGTGTTTTGGGCAGAATGTCAAAAGCTTTGACACTGGAGTGAAGCCCAACAGAACTAGTGACAGGGTGAAATGTGAGTGAGTATGGGATTACTTTAGAATAAGTTGATTATTCAGCAAAGTCAGAGGGTACTATTCTGGAAATCCCACAAGAAACACTGTGTTTTACTTACTAATTTTTGAAATTCATTTGTTACCACACAAAAAAGTTTTCTTATTTCAAGGTGACTAGCAATGCTAGCACTCACAGACCATCTTTGATTATCTTTACAAGAAGACCTTGAGACAGTGTTTGAAGGTTGAGGTGGCAAATGTAACTGGATACAGTATTATCCAAATTGTATTGTTATGTACACAAAAACATGCCTAACTCTGCCCACACCATGTTGGATTTTGAGCTGCCCATCTTTACCTGGGAACAAGGTCTTTCATTGAAATAGGAACATGAATTTTGTTCTTAATGATTGTTATCCATTCCTCTTAAAAATGCTATAATTAAACTGGAAAAAAATGCAAAGAAAGGTGAAAATTATGATCTAAATCATGATGTTACAATAGGAATTATAATTAGGCAAACCAGAATTCTAAAGAACCCCAAAGAGTATGAAGGTTGTGCATTAAGGATTTCTTGTTTAGTCTCATTCCCAATAAAAAAATGTTGAGCACCAATTGAAGCTAACAGGAACTTCATTCAAAGCAAGCAAGAAAGCTTGGTTCTTCATCTTGTTTTGGCATCTACAGTGTCTTTTTTATCTGTAATACCTTTTTCTAAGCAGGTAAGAAGGCTTGATTCTTCATCTTGTTTTAACATCTGTAATATCTTTTTCAAGAAACTTCACAAATTCACTCTACACATGTTATGTGCCTTCAGAGTAGTGGACAATTTAGAGAAGGAATACCAATACCTATAGAATAAAAAAAGACATTATCTCTAGCTAAGGAATTCCAAATGTTGCAAATTTTTGGAGGTTAGATTATTTGATGAAGTCTCATTATGTGCTGTATTGTTCCCTTTTTACTCTGGGTGATCTTTTGGAAAATGGTTACTAAGCTTGATGAATCAGTAGCCTTTGCCCTGACCTAGAATCACCCTTATGTTAGAAATAAAGCTGATTTTAAATAATAATCAATTTATCCAGTAGTCTTAAAACAGAATTACAACAAAAGTGTGTCATTTATATTGAGATATTTTTCAGGTAAATATATTAAATCTAGCAGACTGCATTTAAGGTAGAGAGATTCCTTCTTATTCTATGTCTGAAGTACAATTTTCTGTATTATAGTTTCAGGAATGTGCTTAAAAAGGTTGAAATATTTGTATTTGAGTATTTGTGCCAAAACCAAGAACACTGCACTGACTTCCTATTTTAGACTCTTATCATTGTGTTTCTTTTATAGGAGAGCCAAATCTGTGCCAAATCTGTGGTAAGTGCTGCAGTAATTCACATTTTCCTACTTCTTTCCTTCAGGACTGCATGTTATACTTTCCAGCATGTGATGTGAATGCAGATGGCTCTTTGTACCTGGAGGAAGAAAACAAAGGAACACAACTGTTTGCTCATGTTGTGGCTGTGTATGTGAGATGTGAGGGGAAAAGGTATCTTTTCAATGTAGTTTTCTTTTTAACAGAATTATTGAATGTGGGAGCATAAAAGTAGTTAGCATTACCTGCCCTACAGTTTTCTATCTGTTTGGATGCAGAAAATCAGAACTAATTAAATGAAACTTGTATTAACATAAAGACAAAATGCTTATATTCAATTATGTATATCTTTTAATATGAAGACAATAATTTAGAAGAGCTTTAAAGGTATTAAATTTCTATACCATCAAGCTCATACTCTGTAGAGTTGTGTTATTTTTGTTCTATTGCGTTTTATTATGTATGCGGTCTGTTCTATGTTCAGTTGGTTTGTTCCATGTACCCCCTCAGTTTTTTAAGTTGGTTCCTTCCCCAGTCTCCCACCTCTCCTCCCCTGTCAATCCTCCCCAAAAGTGCCGAGTCATTCCCCTGTCTCCTCCCAGGGTCCTTGTCCGTCACTCGGTGCCCCTGCCCCTACATCCAGAACCTTCTACCCGGGGCATCGTGTGATTGGACCAGGTCCTGAGACCCCTCCCATATTCCTCTCCTATTGGCCCTTTCCCCAAGAGCGAGCCACTCCCCGAAGTTGGTCCCAGTTTTCCCCGCCCATGTGGTATAAAGTCCCCTGACATCCAGCCCCAAGTGCCTTCTCTGGCAGGCACCAGTCCCGTCAACTGGATCCTCGCCAGCGCGTTGTCCCCGTTGGGACCCAATAAAGAGGATTTTGGCCCCCAGAGGAGGACTCTCTTTTCTGTTTGCACCGCGGGAATTCGGCTGCGTTTCCACCAACCCACCCAGCGCTCTCCAAAGCCTTCAGAGGTCCAGCGGAGGGTGCTGGAGACCTGCCCGCTCTCTCCCTCGCGGAGAGCTAGCTGGGGGGGAGACAAGGCTTGAGGGGGAGAACGCGGCAATACTCACTAAAGTCTAAAGAGAATTCACTAAAGAGAATTTCTTTTTGCAGTACTTGGAAGCATACCACCCATCTGTAGGCAGGTATTGCAGCTCTCCCAGCTTTCCTTTCCATTACATAATAATACAGTACTCAAAATTCAGCTGAAAAAGACTTTTCATTAGACAACCAGCAAAAATAAAATACTGTGAGAATTTAAAAAAAGTGTTCATAGTCTTTAGTGACTGAAAGATTGTACTAAGAAGCAGACCTTTAAGAATGCCTCAAATAGATGAGCTACTGTGTTGAAATACAGAAACTGGGAAACCTGAATAATTCCAGTAATGTATATGACGCATAGAGTACTGGTGTGTGTTAGTGCTGGTCTCCTTTTGGATTACAAATTGACTTTGATGGATTGTAGTTAGGAGCAGGAATAAAAAATGGAGAAGAAGATGCAGCAAAGGACAAGAAAACCTTAGAAATGGTAACTCACTCACTCTGGACAAAGGCAAAAGCAAATGCAAATGCAACTAAACAAACTCTCACTCAACAAAAAAAAAAAAGTATGTTCTTCATGCTAATTTAGAAGACATTAATTTAGAAGATATCTGGGAAAATATTTTTCTTGCATAAATTTAATTATAAAGCTCAGACTTCTATCTGAGCTAGAAGCCAAAATATGTGATTTATTTTGTCCTAAATCAGAAATCTCAAACCTGTTAGAGAATTCAAGTGACATCTAAAGCTAAATGAGAAGTATTCCATTATTTGTTGAGGTAAAGGTGCCCTTACTGTGCTGTGGTGCAGGAAGAATGAGTGTGGAGAAATGAAGTTTCTTTTTCAGATTCAAGTTCAAAGACACAAGATTAATGTTTTCAAGGAGTGTTACATTGGGAGATAGATCACTATTGTTTCTTTAGCTTAACAGAAAGGTAGTTATGTGTATTGACTCTTCTAAGAAAGTGACAGCCTGAAATTAAATACAAAAGGAACATGGGAATTTGTGAGGAGGAGAGGTATTGGACTGGAAAGAGCAGTACTCAGAATAATATTTGACATAGTGAGAAACTGCTCTGCTGGAATTAAAACCTCCATCTAAGGGAGAAGCATCCTCTCTGTTGGATGCTGTGAGGTGTCTGCATCCAGGAAGTGAACTGCCAGTTAAGGCGGCAACAACACATACCTAAATTTGTGATGTGCGTATGTGAAGTCATTGGGCTCTTTCCCACTAGTGTGATTCAGCAGGTTGCAATGAGCTGAACAGATCCATGGAAAGTTGGCCACTCACACCTCTAGCAGGAGATTTGTAAGAAGGATAATAAGCACACCCAGATAAGGTGTGTGCAATTGTAACTACTCAGAGGTCCTGTGAGAAAGATGTGCACATGTAACTGTGTTTCTCTGTGTGTCATTATAGCATTTTGGGTGGGTTGTTGCAGGAGGCAGTTTTTGTTTGTGTATATTATAAGCATTTCACATGCCTCTAATATTGTGGTTTATTAGCATTTTACTTGCATCTAATATTGTGGTTTATTTGTATTGCTGAATGTTAAATATAGAGATCACTGATTGCTGGTTAATTACATGATGTTAATAAGTTGCTTCAATTCTGATTTTCCCTCTGATAATGTAATCATGTTTAGCAAAATATCTCTGAGCTGGGTATACTGTTACTGTAATAAACACAGCTGTGAAATACAGGATCACAGAAAGGAAAGGACAAGGGTTTTGTTTAGCTGTTGAGAAACAGCAAAATTATTAGCTGAGTAATAAGGAAGTTTGGGTATATGGAGAGATCTTGCTGGTCTCTGAAATGCCTACCAATGAAACTTTCAACATTTTGTGTGTAGATACAATGAAAAGACAAGTAAGAGTCGGTTTTGTACCAGTTAAATTAACAGTAATTCTTGAGGGACCCTAGAGGGGGGAATCCTTCTAAAACTGGGAGCTGGATTAAGAAACATAATTCAGGAAGAGGGAAGTAGAATTAGCATTGCTGATGGAAATTATTAACGCACCAAGAACATTTCCTGTGGGACATTATTGAAAGTGCTGCATTTTAGTTTTATGGTGAGCAGATTCTTCAAAAAACATAGTCTCAATTAGAGCCCTGCAAATAAAAAAGGTTTTTGAGTAATACCTGGAATCAATTTTTCTCTAGTTAGATGACATAGTGAAGATATGTTTCAGTATAGCAAGTCCATGGGGTTTAGTTTTCAAAATGTTATTACAATTTTAATTCACTCAAAGATTTCAGCGTCCCCATTTAGGACACTATGTGCAAGTAGATTTTGTTCAAAAAACTATAAAGTTATGTGACAGTAAGCAGAGACTGTGATCTGTGTTGACTTTTAACATAGTTTAAGGAAATAAGACATTGTCTTAGTTATAATTTTGAAGCATGCTTGTGCAATCTGTACATTAATTTTGAGTTGTTAAGACATTACTTGCAAGACTGCATCTTATTTTTCTTCTTCATGTTGCCTGATGCTACAGTTTTAGCATTTCATCTGATATGTCTTGGAAAGAACTATATATATTTTTTTTTTTTACTTCTAAAAGGAACAATTGAAATACAATATGAAGTAAATTACATGAAGGCTCTAACTAGCTGGTGGCCTTGGCAACCCTTAAGGAAACTCAGTAGTTTTTCCTTCTTTTTTTTTTTCCTTATTTCTCAGATGTAGCATTGCATCAGTGCAGAACAGTTAAGTGTTATCATCACTTACATTATATAGCAAGAATATATGACATCAAAGATACTGTTAGAGTCCTTTTTGAATTGCTGTATACTGAATGCATCACATGTCAGCTCTATAGCTCATTTTATTCCTAGTTCTGAAGGGACAATTTTAAATATTTAAGTGCTTGCATGTTATTTTATATTTAATCAGAGATGGAGGTTTAGGTCAGCCTCTCAGTGATACAGACTCTACAGTTTACTCTACATCATAACGATGTCTGTTTAGACAGGCATAATTTTCTTTTTTTATGTACAGAAAATAATGATTTCCAGAGATACTCCTGCCTATCCTTGCTAATAACTGACAAAAGGAAGGATCTAATGTTACTGAGCAAATGATTAAGGAGCTCTGGTTGCTCCTTGACCTTGTAATATGTTTGCAAAACGCTTTGAAACGTTGCTAGAGAACATACTAATATGTGCAGCCAAGTGTCCCTATTTGTTAAACAATCTCTATTCATAATAAGTAATCAGATCAACATACTTTTTTCATCTGTTGTCTTTTTCTTTACTCCTACATTCAGATCATGAACACATTCAATGAGACCAGCAGCTAAACAGAATGAGAAATGGTAAATTTGAAAGGACAGCTTAGGGAAGCCAAGCAAATGACTGACACTGCTCATGGCTGGGAAACCTACAAGGTGTATGGGTTTTTAATTAGTGTCTTTGAGAGGCATTAACTCTTCTATTCTTTTTTTACCTATGCTATATTTCTAAAGTCTTATTACAGATCCAGGGCTATAATTTCTTTGATTGATTTGTTGATTTATTGCTATAACACATCTTCCAAAAGCTAAATTTTCCTGGTTTTACTAATATCTTGTGGTATCTTACCTTAACAGAGCAGTGCTTATGAAGATAATTTTGTATTTATGAAAGCCTTCTGCAGTGCCAGACCATGTCCAGAATATTCAGATACAGTTTCTCCCAGCAGACAATACTGGTATGAGAGTTATACTTGTTAGGCTAACTATATTTTTTTTTCTAGAAGTTATGTGAATTTTAGCATTCATATGGGGTGACAGCTGTGTTTATCCTTTTATCTGATCTTGCTTATGTTTCCATTATACTATGTTTATCATTAGGAGCTCTTCAAATTTCATCATTGGTATTTCAGTTGTGTTGTGCTGCAGACTTGGTCCTTTTACAGCATGTCAAGCTCCTCCCCTGTCTGCATAACTTAATAGGACTGCAAAGTCTCCTTTGAATTTCAGAATGCACACGCAAAAACACATCTTCTGAGTGTTTGTGTAGCTTGCTTTGTGTTGTCTCTCTTCCCAAAATAGCTTATGAGTAAGCTCCTGAAAGTGTGGTACTGAATAATGTTTGGATGTTTTAGCTTTTATTTTCTTTGATAGCCTGTGTAATTATTTATCTGTTTACCAGTTCATTTCATATGATATTGCATACCAACATAAGTTTTTTTTGGTTTTTTTTTTTTTTTTTTGTGAAGATTTTTTTTTTTTGGTGAAGATTTGTAATACAGTATTTCTCTACTTTTGGGATATATTTAGAGAAAAGTGGCTTTTCTTGGGAAGGTCTGTAAAATTTCAAAACAAATTCTTCGAGGAAACTTGTACCACATTTTGAAAAAGGAGAGAAGTGATTGGAAAAAAAA